ATGGAATGAATCCTTTGAAGCTCCAACCTAAACCTCAATGGAAGGGCCAAAAAGATTAAATACTTTTGTGGGCAGACCTTTCAAATTATAATAATCATAATAACCCTTGCATTTGATATAGCACCTTATCAGGTCGTCGAGGCGTCTCAAAGCACTTCACAAAATATACTGTAAAGTGAACTGACTATTTTTTGTGGGTGAAATAGTTTAACTGTTGAGATTCTGAGTTTTTTGAATACAGAATTGTTAAGGTCTGGAATTCACTGCTTGAAAGGGTGGTGGAAACAGATTCAATAACAACTTTCAAAAGGTACTTCAAGAAGAAAAAAATTCAAGGATTTGGGGAGAGAGTGGGGGAGTGGGACTGATTGGGTAGCTCTTCCAAAGAGCTGGCACAGCCCCGATGGGCCAAATTTATGATTCATAAACAAGCTGGACTTTTTGGGGGGTGGCTAATGGAGGGAGAAAATAGGTAGTATTTTTCTACTATAGAAGAGCTATGGCCAATGTGAATTACATCAAAAGTTTGCAACACAAGAACATAACTTTCATAAAGCGTGTCAAAAATACTGTGTTACTGCATTCAACAGTTCACCCTGAGTGGAGGTGTGTCAGAATCTAAGCATTTGATTGACTGGTTTAGATTTGGATGTCCAATCACACAGTGAAACTGACTTGGACTCTAGACTTTGAATCTGTTGCCAGTTTAGATTCTGCGTGAATGAGAATGCTGGCCTCTTGCTCGTGCCAACAAATGATTGCTGTTACAGCTTTGCTTTCCATAGATTTAACTGGTGCAATTAATGTCAGGTGGCCTTTTGACAGTGAGAAAGCAAAACAGTTCACAGAATCTATATGTGACCCAGTGCTGATGTCACAACAGTCTCGTCTTCCCAAAGGCCAGCTCACGATCTTAAAATATTCATGAGTACATCCATGAGTACATCCAGTTTCATATACAGTACTTCATAATATTCTACTCCCCCACTGTTACAGTGCATTTGAAGACTCCACTGCAAGCTCAATTGGAGTGAAAATAAAACCAGGAAAATCCCATCTTCAATCTCTGGACTGTGCTTGATCAGCTGATCTCAATCAGGGATATGTAGGATGAGCAAGAGACACCAAAGAGAAAGGAAAATTTTGCCACCGAAAATCTTTTAAATATGAGCATTTTTCAGAACCTCATCTAAAAACCCGAGGCAAATGTAACAATGCACCTTTACCTATAACTTTAATATTTCTGCTTACAGGACATCTTATAATAGCATTTTATCACATTACCAGGCTAGTGGGTCATTTGTGCGTCAGCCTGACTCACTTGGTAGCACTCTCACCTCTGAGTCAGAAGGTTGTGGGTTCAAGCCTCACATTGGGCCTTGGAATTCAGAGTCGAGGCTGACACTCTGTTGCAATGTTGGAGGTGTGTTACACTTGAGATAGCGACCTTCGAATGAGACGTTAAACCAAGGTCCCGTTTGCTTGCTCGGGTGATGATAAAGATTCCATGGTGCTGTTTGAAATAATAATAATAATTTGATATGGCTCCTTTCACATCAGAATGTCTCGAACCTTAGGCATGTTCCCTTACTGCACACATCTGTGAATAGAAACCTGGTTGTTAGTCGATTGTCGGATCGCTCGCCGGGCGCAGTAATCCCTCAATCCACAACGGTTTGTGGGACACTACTGTGTGAAATTGTCTGCTGCGTTTCACCTACAAAACACACACAGTCATTCCACTTTACAGTATATTCTGTGAAGCACTCTGAGACATCTCGAAGACATGATAAGGTGCTATATTAAGTGCAAGGATATTATAAACCGCTTCACAGAATATATACAGGATACCTCTTTGAAAGAGAAGAGTTTTTCCCAGTGTGCTGCCCCACGCTAAGCAATTGGTCATTCACTTCATGGTTGTTTGTCAGACATTCCTGCGTATAAATTGGCTGCTGCATTTGCCTACTAAACAGTCATTGTGAAGCAGTGCAGCATCAGAAGACCAACAAGATGGTTGAGGGCAAGCACGCCTTGACATTTCAAATATCGATTAGATTGGGGATTCTCCATGTGTGTATGAAACAAACCAGAAGCTGATAACAGGATGAATCTGATTCACTATTCAATATTCATTTTGAGAAATCCCTATGCTTGTTCTCCTGGGTAGATCGCAGCAGTGTCCAGGAGATTAATCTTTGATTCCTGGACACTCCAGGACAACCCTGGAGGGTTGGCAACCCTTGCATCAGTTGACTATTAGTTCAATGTGAGTCAGCCTGATAGCACTCTCAAATCTGAATCAGAAGGTTGTGGGTTTAAGCCTCACATCAGGTCTAACATGCAATGTCAGAGGTGTCCTTCAGATGAGACGTTAAACCAAGGTCCCATCTGCCTGTTAGGTAGACGTTAAAGATCCCATAGAGCTATTTGAAAAGAGAAGGGAGTTTTTCCCGGAGTCCTGGCCAACAACCCCCCAAATAAAATTGGTCACTCACCATGGCTGTTTAGAACCATAGAATTATACAGCACAGAAGGAGGCCATTCGGCCCATCGTGCCTGTGCCGGCTCTTTGAAAAGAGCGATCCAAATCAATCTCGCTCTCCCCCCCCCATAGCCCTGCAAACCTGTCCTCTCTCCGTTTCTGGGTCATTGCTGTGTGCAAATTGCCTGCCATGTTTCTCCCTCAAAATACAGTCCACTTTACAGCATATCCTGTGAAGCACTCTGAGCAGTCTTCATGACGTGGGCATATACCACACGCAAGGATTACAATTTTATTTATTATACTCCAATACACAGTTGGGTGTAGCAACAACCTCGTGTTTACAGTGTTGTCATTCAGAATATATTTTAAATGGCTTAACCCTATCAGGCTGGACATAAAATAGAAACAGCTGATTAAATTTGTGTATGTGTGTGTGTGTGGGTTTTTTTTTGGGGGGGGGGGGGGGGGGGAGTTGGGGAGAGGAAAAAGAGAACAGTTACAGAAAGCCCGCAGCCTCCCCTACCTCTTTTGCCACTGACAACTTCAAGATGGCGATGGCTTTGGGAAAAGACCCGAACGGAAAAAATGTTATCATCTCAAATGGCGATGAAACCGAACGCTCGGGGGGGGGGGGGGGGGGCGTCAATGGGTGTGTCCGGTGGATTTGTCACGAGTCAGACATATCATTTTAAAGTTGGAACGGAGCCCTTTTGATGGTGGGTGTGGAGGAAGTGATGGGGGGGAGAGAGAGAGAGTAGTGGGGGAGGGGTGAGGGGGGGGGATCCGGAGCTGCCGAAGATTCTCGAAGCGCTGGCGAGAGGGGGGCGGGGAGCTGTGTGAACCGCGCGATACGATTGGCCGCTTTGCCGTCAGCTGATCGCCACCCGCCTCTCCAATGTGGGTTGGGCCGGTTGGTTGGTTGGTTGGGCGGGTGTTTGTGCGTATTGTGCGTGAGAAAAATAGCTTTGGGCGGGTGCCTGAGTTGGTAAATAAAACTGTCTATACCTGCAAAAGTTTCTTCCTCTCCCCCACCCCACCCCCACCTTCTCTTGCAAACTTGCAAAATGACTCAGCTAAATTGACCTCACCGCTACCCATAGCAGGCAATTCACATTATTGGGATACTTTCGGGTATTTGGTTGACTTTGGGCTGCAACTTACTTTAATTTTTAGCCACCCTGTCCCCCAGTTATCTGGGCACGGATTCTCTCTTTCTTTCAGCAGAAGTTCAGGTAAACCAACGCCAGTGTGCATAAGATAACTCCACTGACTTTCTTCCAACATGTGAAGCCAAAAAGCACTCAAATATAGTCAATTCACTTTACAGTCTATTCTGTGAAGCGCTTTGAGACATCGAGAAGACGTGAAAAGCGATATATCAAATGCAAGGATTATTATTATATTATAAAGAAGCCTTCGGAAGTCACACTCGCTTTTTATGGAAACTAAACATGTCCTCATGCCCCGTAAACAACCCCCACCTCCTCACACATACTGTCAGGATTGCCGGAAATGCGTTTCTAGCCCAAAGTATATGCAGGCAAACAGAGCAGCATAATTATGCACAGCAATGTCACAAACAGCCATGAGAGAAGTGACCAATTTTTATTTTGGGAATTTCTGACGAAGGGGCGTGGATGGACCCGAAACGTTGACTCCCTTTCCTTTCTCTATAGATGCTGCCCGACCTGCTTGAGTGTTCCCAGCGACTTCTGTTTTTGTTTTATTTTGGTGGGGGGGGGGGAAACGCTGACCAGGACCAAACTTTTCGAACGGTGCCGCCGGATCGACAACATCCGGAATGAGTTCATTTCCAGGCAGGTCAGGGCGAAACCTTGGGCAAGTTTCCTTACTCCACACGCCTAATAATAATCCCTCCAAAACCAAAAACAATAATAAAAAATTGGGTCATTTTCAATCTACGACAGTTTGTGGGTCATTGCTGTGCGCCATTGGCTGCCGCGTTCGCCCACAAATATGCAGTCAATTCACTTTACAGTGTGTTCTGTGAAGCGCTTTGGGACGTCCTCCCGACGTGAAAAGCGCTATATCAAATGCAAGGATTATTATTATTATTATTATCCACCCGAACCGGCAGACGGGACCCGGGTTTAACGTCTCAGCCGAAGGACGGCGCCTCCGGCCACGCCACGCCACGCGGCTCAGCGCTGTATTGGGAGGGCCAACGTAAGACGGTGTGATTCCGAGTCCTGTGACGTGGGCCTTGAGCCCACACGCTTCTGGACTCAAGAGGCGAGCGCTACCGTTGGTCATTCGAACCCAAACGAGCAGCGGCCGCGCTGTCCCGGGTGCCCCCCCCACCCCCGCCATCCTTTCCCCACACGCATGCTCAGTGTGGGCTGGCACGGCTGGGCGCATGCGCAGAGACGTATTTCGGGGAGGGTGATGGGCGGGATGGGCGGGGGGGGGGGGGAAGGGGGTGTGTTTGCTTATTTTCTTCCCCACCCCGTCTCCTCCTCCTCGTCGTCGTCGTCGGTCATAGGAACGGCGGGGGGTGGCGGGGGGCGGCGAGAGAGACCGGCTCTGGGCTGTGCTGTCACTGGGTGCGGAGACAGTCGCCGTTCAGCTGAGCTCCCTCCCTCCCTCTCTCCCTCCCTCACATCCCCGCCGGTCAGCCTGTCACCATGTACCGGTATTTCGGTGAGCTCCTGGCCCGGGGGGTCGCCTCCTCCTCCTCCGCCGCCGCCGCCGCCGCTTCGCCCAGCGCTGCCGCTGAGAGCGGGCTGCAGCGCCTGTGCAGCGGGGCCGCCCTGCTCCAGTGCAGGCGTTACTGCAGCGATCCCTCCGCCGCCGCCGCCGCCGCCGCCGAGGACGACGACCCCAACTTCTTCAAAATGGTGGAGGGCTTCTTCGACCGCGGCGCCATGATCGTGGAGGACAAGCTGGTGGAGGACCTGAAGACCCGGGAGACGGACGAGCAGAAGAGGAACCGGGTGCGGGGTATCCTGAAGATCATCAAACCCTGCAATCACGTCCTGGCCCTGTCCTTCCCCATCAAGAGGGACAACGGCGAGTGGGAGGTGATCGAGGCCTACAGAGCTCAGCACAGTCAGCACAGGACACCGTGCAAAGGAGGTGAGCAAAGGCTGTGTGGGTGGGTGGGTGAGTGGGCGGGTGTGGTGGCGGCGGCGGCTGCGGCGGCTGCAGTCCAGTTACCTGTCCCTTTTGCAGCACACGACCCGATCATATTTCTCCTCCTCCTCCTCCTCCTCCAGGGGTACCTCTGCAGTCCCTGTCCCTACTTATCCAGCAGCAGCGTAAAGTGAATTGGCTGTATTTTGTGCGTGAAGTAATAATACCTGTCATGACCCTTCCCGTGAAGGAGGCACCGGTTTTATTTAATGCCCTCTCTGATCGAGCTGCTGAAACAACAACAACACCCCCCGCCCCCCCATCTTCTAAGCCTCATGGACAACTGCTGCAATAAACCGATCCATATTATTTGAAAGGTTTGCTGCAGCAATACCTGCCCCGATTGTCCTCCCAAAGGGACTGCTGGATGTAGTGTTACATAGGCTTAGTACCCACTCTGCAGGTGTCTTACAGGAACAGCAATTCTCTGCCCCACCCTCTTGTGTTTGTTGCAAGAATATATATCATGCAAACGAATTGCTTAATTCAAGAATATGTCTTTACATAGCCATCGTGACAATTTAGCTTGTGATCCAATTCTATAAACCGACTGTTTCTTATTGTATAACCCATGGGCTGCTTGTGATCCTCTTCCATTTGATAGAATGTTCCCAATGTTTGACATCCCAATGTTTCTTGACCTCCATTCACACGCTGCCCAGATATGGGATGTTGAGCGAGTTCGAATTCAATTTTGGGCCACCTCTGTTTCTTGCCAGTAGAACCTTTCAAATGTTATCAGAAGGCTGCATTCTCCCAATCGCCATAAAGAAAGTGAAAGTTCTAATTTAATAGAACACTGGCCTCTATTTAATATATCTTATTCTTATTCATTTTCCCCGCCTTCCTGAGGGAAGTGCTTGGTCTCCATTTAACAGCTTCCACAAATGGCACGATTGAAATAGAGCTGGGTGAGGAGGTACGAGATTGATTGGCATTTTGGCCCTTGACACAAAAGCTTGGCAGAGAGTCTAAAGTATTTTCCTGGTATGGAAATATTAGCAATAAGATACAGGCAGAGCAGGAATGAGGATTGAAGAGACGATGTATGTAGTGCAGGAACATATATGCAGATATTCTATAGAAAATAATGATGGTATAATTTTTGAGTACAGATGATGTGGCGTTGTCCTTTCAATCCGGAGACGGGATTATTCTGAGTGCAATTGTCAGACTACATTTTTAATCTGTTTTGCTCTTAACTTGTCTGTGGGAAGCATTTTTTTATTTGACAGCCAAGATATTCATATCAAATGATTAAAATTGTGATCAAATCACTTTGAGAATCTAGTCTTTAATATTAAAGCCTTACTTTTGACATTACCACCTATCATAAAATTTCCCAAAGTACCTCACAGGTAATAATTGTCAAGTGTAGTGGCTGCATATTTTTAGGCAAACTGCAGTGAATTCAGAGTGGAACAGCATTTCTCTATTATAGTATAACCGGTACAATAATGGTAGTAGGAGAAATATTAGTGTGCCAATAAAATATACTGGCAACTTAGGAGACTATTTCACATAAGATACTCCGAAAAGGCCTCATGAAAGTTTAATAAATGTTCTCCCACACTAGCACTAAATTGAATGTGTCACACAGTCTGAAGAGGCAATGCCCAGTTAGACTATTTTCAAATGGAGAACAGATCCTTCACAAAAATTGTTTCTCTTATTGACATGTGAGACTCATTGGTACTTGTCAACTAGCAAAAACTGGGAGTCTAAAACACGGATGAGTGCTGATGTCAATGGGAAAAGATTTGGGCTAATGGCGTCATGTCAGATGGAGGAATACAGCATTTAACAAAATGAACCAGATTCCATGCCCCCAAATAAATCAGCTGAGAGTGCATCTCTCTCTCTCTTTCTTGTACAATAATAACTGTTATACAGTGTCTTTCAACCTTTGCAAAATATAATTGATTAGATGAGCAAACATGGCAGACAATCTGCCCCAACTACATCCTATAACAATAAATAAGCAGCCAATTAATTTGAATTTATTCTTCGACCGTGCCTTCGGTCCCCTCCCCCCGGCTTGGCATCGTGCTCCTCCACTGTCAAGCGCTCTGGGACGCTACCCTATGTGAAATGTAGTGTTGGGTCAAATAGACGCAGGAATTGAAGTGTATCAGTGCATTAAATATTATTACTAATATTTCTTTAATAGTTAATAAATTGACAGTGGTGCATTGAGTTCAGCACACTGCCCGATTTTCTCTGCAGTTCAAATCTAGCCCAGATTGAAAGGCCGAAAGTCTACACACATTGGCAGTATGATGTTGTGTTGGCACAGCAATATCATACTAAACAAAACATTGTCTATTTATCTCAGAGTAAGAACTAATACAGTACAGATGGGTTAAAAAGCGAGAGGAACCATGGTACTTATCCTGAGCTACGGGGACAGAGTGAGAGGAAATAGAAACCGATGACACGGAAAGTAAGATGTATAAAGGGAGTGACGTTTTCAGAATGAATGTGCAGAAACGGATATAGTGGTTGCCATGCTGACGGGATGCAGCAAGGCAACATGGCAACTTAATTCTACAGGTGTGCAGTTAGCAGCATGATGTATCTGGCACTGATGCTACAGAAAGCTGCACACTCATTAACACAAACTTATTTAGATTTTAGATTTCCTCTTCTTCACTCCACACATCAGTGTGTGTTGGACCTCGCTATTGCGGATTAGCTGCTACATTTCCCCACGGAATAGATTCTATTCTGACTCATTTGTGTTAATGGGTTAATACATCAATGTAATGACTTGCTGTGCCAAAGTAAATCAATATCAAGTCAGATTTGGGGAGTAGTGCCAAAGCAGATCTGTTTACTTCTCTGTGGAGAATGACTCAGCCTTGATTTTTTTTAAAAACATTCATGCTACAAAAATGTTCTGAGTGTAACATCTTGTCTTTGTTGAGTTTGGAGCTCTGCAGTTGAAAGCAATGGCTGCAGTCTGCCTATTGCATTTGAGCCTGGGAGAGAGCTGAGCTACAGAAACACCGTGAAACACTAAAATCTTCATAAAGTGTGATTTCTAGCATTTAAAATGCACGCTCTTCACTTCCTTACTCGTTCTCCACCCTCCAGGAACAAATTCAGTGTGGCAACAAGCTGAAAGTGTAAAAGAGCTTGTCCTGCAGACTTTGAAAGAGGAACAAGGCTTTCCCACCAGTAACCAGTAGATAACATAGCAGTGCTAAATTGAACACCGTTTTCAAGTTGGCATGTGATAATTACTGTCAGTTTCATTCAGTTCTGTATCCACAGCACCTTAAGAAAGTGCGCAGTATTATCGTGGCACAAGCTGTATTGCTGATGGCAAAGGTCTGGATGACTGCACTCTTGGTTGGAAAGAACTGTGTATGTAACAGCTGGGAAAAAGTGTAGCATATCACTGTAATCCTGCAAGTCACAAGTTTCCCTCTCTGGAGCTTCACAGGGTACTCGGAAACTGAAGAGGAGCTGAGCTGTCACTGGTGTATGCGGTGGATGGGTCCAGTCTAAAGACAAATTGCTCAAAAAATAGTTCAAATTGTTTTTTTTAAATGGTAGACCACATGAAGGCTGAGCCAAGGAAATGCAGTTAGCCCCATGAAACCTTCCTTCCAAAGTCTATGCAAATTTAATCTCCTGTAGCTTCTCCCAGAACTGACCACCATTAACAACACGCAGACCAGATTCCTGAAGGCAATATGGATTCTAACTGCTATAGTTCCTATTCTCCCCTTCCCCAAGTAGGAAACATTCTCCAATAAACATGCACTGAAAGTTTTGTTGAACTTTATAAGCAATATGTTTACAGAATTTTCACAAAGACCTGTTCAACCCCATTTTCTTTTCTATAGTTCACTGAACAACAACTAAAACAAGTGGAAGAATGGTGATAATTATTTAGAAGTGCTTAATTGTAGTCAGTCCAAGTGTTTATGTGTATTTAGAAGTGCAGAGGTGTGAGTGAGCGCCATCATTTTCATCGTAGATAATGATCCCTTGCCATGCTCGGTGCGATATCTTTGGAAACATGAATGGAATGACAAGGAAGTTATCAGTATTGTTATATATAAGTTATCATTGTTGTACTCGACTCATCTGCAACAGAAAGTAAAAATTAATTGAAAGAAGAAGAAAAAGAAAACTGAGGGCTGGTACCTGGACTTTGTGGACACCCTGTAGATATTGTTTGTGCTGCGGAAGCAAGTTTAATATTGCCAGGAGTTCAGAATTGCTCCAGCAGATCTAGGTTGTGTCTGCTAATCTGTTCAGATAGTTATTGGTTAACAGAGTGTTTGCAATACATGTGCTGACCTGAGAATAGGCAGAACGTGATGTTGAACTCTGGCTACGGTTATTCACATCTACGCAAATAGTGACACATGAACTGCAGAAACTAGCAAGCCCCAGTTGTCAGTCCATTACTAGCTAAGGCTCGGACCACTCCTTTCTCACCACCACTATAGCCCGCATGAAACCGACCACCTTGACGCCATCCCTACCCCTCTCCTTACCTCCCAGCTCCACCTCCTTGCCCCTCTACTCACAGACATCGTAAATCTCTCCCTGTCCACTGGTACTGTTACCAACCCATTAAAAACAGCCATCATCACTCCTATCCTTAAAAAACCTTCCCTCTACTCTCAAACTACCTCCCCATCTCCATCCTCTCTTTTCTCTCCAAGGTCCTGGAATGAGTTGTTACTTTCCAGCTTCGCTCCTTCCTCTCCCGCCACTCCCTTCATGAACCCCGCCAATCAGGTTTCCGTGCCGCCCACTGCACAGAAACAACCTTGGTCAAAGTGAAAATGATATTCTGTCCATCTGTGACCAGGGCTCCTGGTCCTCCCTGACCTCTGTGCTACCTTCGACACCGTCGACCACTCTATCCTCATCCACCGCCTCTCCTCTCACCTCAACCTTCACGGCTCTGTCCTTGACTGGTTCAGATTGTACCTCTCACTGCCTCCACTTCCATCTCCACGAACGGTTTCTCCTCTAGACTCCGCACTGTCTCGTGCGGTGTTCCTCAGGGCTCTGTCCTTGGTCCCCTCCTCTTCAATATCTATATGCTCCCTCGTGGTGACATCACCCGCAGACATGGGGTCAACTTCCACATGTATGCAGATGACACTCAACTGTACCTCTCTGCCTTCACCCTTGACTCCAGGACCACCTCTGTCCTGACAGAATGTCTGTCAGACATCAAGTCCTGGATGAGAGCTAATTTTCTTCAATTGAACATCAACAAGACTGAGGCTCTCCTGATTGGTTCCCGTCAGCGCCTCCACACCTCAGGTACTAACAGCATCACCATCCGTGGATGCACACTCCACCTTACGAAGTCAGTCTGGAACCTTGGCGTCTTGTTTGACCCTCAACTATCCACTCTACCCCACACTCGTGTCATGACCTGCTGTGCCTTCCCCCACCTCCACAACATCGCTTGGCTCCGCCACTGGCCGCCAAAACCCTCATACACACTTCCATTACATTGAGGCTTGATTATGCAAACTCTTTGCTTGTCGTCCTCCCCAAATTCTCCCTCTAGGCTATAGATCATCTGGAACTCTGCAGCCTGTGTCCTTTTCCGCACCAGGCTCCGTGACTCTTATCACCCCCATCCTCGCTCGACTCCACTGGTGTCCCATCACACAGAGGATACAGTTCAAGATCCTGGTCCTCTCCTTCAAAGCCCTCCATGGTCTTGCTCCCACCTATCTCTGCGACCTCCTAACTCCTTACCATCTTGCCCTCTCCCTTCACTAAGCAGACTCCAGCCTGCTTCATGTCCCCCGCCTCGCTTGCACCACAATTGGTGGGAGGGCCTTCTGCCACTGTGTCCCCACCCTCTGGAACTCCATCCTGCAGTCCCTCCGCCCGCTCCCTTGCTTCCTTCAAGACCCATCTCAAGACGCTCCTCTGCGAACGTGCTTTCGATCACCCTGCTTCCCCCCCTGCCGTCCTACCCTCTCCGAACCTGATCCCCAGCTTGGGACTGAAACTGACTGTCCAGCGCCTTGGGACGTACTCCTGACGTGAAAGGCACTGTACAAATGTAATTTTGTTGTTGTTGTTGAACAGGAAGTGGTCTCATTAAACAGCTGTACAACCTTGATCTTATTAGTCTTGGAAAACTGCTCCCACTCCCAGCAAAGGCCCAAACCCACCCACTCACAGTATTCAGGATACTGTGAGGGAACGTTGGCAAAGTCAGCTAGAGGTGAATGTTGAGCTGGAAACTATTCACGTCGAGTCCTGTAGAGTAATGGTTAGCCAGCTCACCTTACAAGCAAGAGGACGCCAATTTGATTCCCGGGGAGGGTGAAACCTTAGACATGTTTCCTTACTCCACACTCCTGTTTACCTAGCAGTAAGTAGGAACCCGGTTGTTAGTCAATTGGTGGGTCACTTTCCGGGGTGTAATAATACCTTTAAAAAAATATTTGGTCACTCAATCCATGATTTTGTGGGACACTGCTGTGCGCAATTGGCTGCCGTGTTTCACCCACAAAATACGGTTAATTCACTTTATATTGTGAAGATCTTTGAGACATCTCAACAATGTGATAAGGCATTAAATCAAATCTAAGGATAATTATTGTCACCTATAGGAATTGACGCATTGTAGTCACATACTTAGATATGGTACCTTTTCATCACAGTAGGTAAACAAAGAAGCTCAGGAAGTACTGGAAGTTCTTGTTCAGATGCTAATTGACCATCAATGTTTTCCCTTTGTCTCCAGATTGTGTCTATATTCATAATAATAATAAGCCTTGCAGTTGGTATAGCACCTTTCGTGTTGAGAGGACATCCCAAACTGTTTCACAAGAGTGACTGTGTATTTGTGGACGAATGCGATTGCTAATTTGCACGCAGTAGTGTTCCACAAACAGCCATGTAGTGAGTGACCAATTTTATCTGGAGGATTGTTGGCTAGGAAACCGGAAGACAGAAACTCCCTTTCCTTTTCAAATAGTACCATGGGATCTTTAATGTCCACCTGAACAGGCAGACGGGACCTTGGTTTAATATCCAATGCAACCCCCCATCCCAAGGTGCTGCATTGGATTGTCAGCTTATCTGAGTTCAAATCTTGAATCTTGGCTTGAACTTCCAACCTTCTGATTCAAGAGTGAGAAAGCTACCACTGCACCAGGCTGAAGCACATTGTTATATGCAGCAGAATTAGTAATTGCTGAGTGATTCCTGCTCACTGTTTATTATAGCCACTACCCCTCCCCTCAGACCGCTGAAGTTCTTGTTCATGCCTTCATCACCTCCAGACTCGACTATGCAAACGTCCTGCTTGTCGGCCTTCCCAACTCCTCCCTCCACAGGTTGCAGATAATCCAGAACTCTGCAACCTGTGTCCTCTTCCGCACCAAACTCCATGACCCCATTCTCGCCCGACTCCATTGGCTCCCTAGCCTTCAGAGGATCCAGTTCAAGATCCTGGTCCTCACCTACAAAGCCCACCATGGCCTCGCCCCACCCTACCTCTGTGACCTCCTAACCCCCTACCAAACCGCCCGTTCCCTCCACTCAGCCGGCTCTGGTCTGCTCCACATCCCCCGACCCACCCGCCCCACCATTGGCGGGAGAGCCTTCAGCCACTCTGTCCCCAACCTCTGGAATTCCATCCCTCAGTCACTCCGCCTCGCCCCCTCCTTAGCCTCCTTCAAGTCCCGCCTCAAGACCCTTCTCTTTGACCGTGCCATCAGCCACCCCCCTTCCAACCCCCCCCCCCCGACCGCAGCTTGGGTCTGAAATGCTGTACTCTGTCCAGCGTCTTGTGACTTCCTCTCAATGTGAAAGGCGCAATACAAATGTAATCTTGTTGGAGATAATGAATCCCTTTCAAGTTTCATATTCCTCAGGCCTGGAGGGGCAGCCTGTATCCAGCCCTCTGTGAATACAGTAAACCTCACGTATAAATTGTATTAGTTGAGGTTGTACATTTAATGACTTATGCAAAGTATAAATTATGTCAAACTTGCATTGAATATAAACTCTTGAATAGGACTTGGACAGATGTATGAATTGGGTGATTATGATTTATACAGATCCGAATTGTGCGAGTTTTACTGTATAACCAATAAGAGAATGGAAATGTAAGTATTGCCCTCAGTACAATGTCCTCGCAAATATTCTACACACTACCTGCAAATATACTTTGCTGAACGGTTCCTGTACTGGAAGCTTTTAACATGCAAGTGCAGAGTGCAGCATTGATTAGGCTATTTATTAGTCACATTGTGATAGTTTCGTTACACTTGCCAAGTGTTTTTACCTAGCCTGATCCAACCTGCTAGTACCAGATTTTACCAACAGCTTTTAGCAACAGCAACTTTGACGCAGGCAATTCAGTTATCAAAAGATAGCCCATTGTAGTCAAAATGACCACGAGCCATTTATCTCAATTTTTAAAAACCTCTTAAAGAGTACATGCTGCTACATTTCCTCTCTGCTTTGGTGGTTCCTACACCTATAGTGGCTTTCCTTATTCGAAATGCCTCTGTTTACCTAGCAGTGAGTAGGACCTAGTTGTTAATCGATTGGCGGAACGCTTTCCGGGGGCAAATGGTTTGTGTGGCAGCCTGGCACAGTGGTAACACTCCTGCCTATTAGTCAGAAGGTTGTGGGTTGGAATCACATAGTCTAAGATGACACGCCAGTATAGTGCTAGAGGTGTATTGCATTGTCGGAGGTGCTGTCCTTCGGATGAGACGTTAAACTAAGGTCACGTTTGACTGTTCAGGTGGATGTTAAAGATCCCATGGCGCTATTTGAAAAGAGAAGGGAGATTCTCTCTCCCGGTTGCCTGGCCAACAAAATCCCAAATACAATTGTTCATTCATTCCATGGCTGTTTATGGGACTTTGTTATGCGCTTTGCAGTATGCCCCGTGAAGGTCTTTGATGCGACGTAATAAGGGGCTATATAAAATGCAAGGATTATTATTATTATTGGAAGGAGTGGGGAGGGAGATGTTATTATGCTATGCGAATGCGCCATATACATGTTACTTGTTGGAAGACAATCAGGAGAGCTGAGAGATCATGTTAGCTTCATGGGGAGCAGGGGATTACATACATAGGGGGAGGCAAGACTGGAGACATTTGGAAATCAGGGCAAGAATCTTAAAGTCTGCAGTACTGTGTAGCTTAACAAGGATCATTGTAATGAGTGTGTGTGCAAAATACAATGCTATCCTTGCACTAACGTGCATGAGGTTACATGTTCCCTGGGTGCTGTACTGCAGAGCTTGTGGAATGCACTGGCCTATTGTAGCAGTTCCTGTTAATTTCTATCCTAAGGATTCCTTACCATCCCCCTCGAAGTATTTAATTATTCAGACTTTTAGTAGAGAAGGGCGAGCAAAAAAACTGTGTGTCTGCTGTAAAAGGTATGTATGGCTTTAACAGCGCAATGTGGGCCTCCTTGTGAGGTGTTGTGCTTGAATCACTCTTTGTTTTGCAACTTCCTAAGTGCTTTGTGATAACAGTTTAGTAATTGGCAGCCTCTCTCTCTTATTACAGGGATCCGCTACAGCATGGATGTCTCCGTAGATGAAATTAAAGCTCTGGCTTCTCTGATGACTTACAAGTGTGCTGTGGTTGGTAAGTGCTGATCTCAACTTTCTGATCCTCAATTTCGGATATGCTCCTCCCTTTCCTCCTCTTCCCCCACCCGCATTTCACTACAAACATGTCCTTTGTAATTCTAGGCAGCAAAATACGTTTTAAACTCTGCCTCCTCCACTTTAGGAAAACATAATGGTTTCCACACTTAAATGAATCATAGAATCCTACAGGACAAAAGGAGACCATTTGGCTCACCGTGCATGTGCCAGCTCTTTGAAAGAGCCGCCAACTAGTCCCACTCCCCCCACCTCTTTCCCCATAGCCCTGCAGTTTTTTCTTTTCAAGTAAATATCCAATTCCCTTTTGAATGTTATTACTGAATCTGCTTCCACCATCCAGATCACAACTACTGACTGTGTTAAAAGAAATTCTCCTTATCTCCCCTTTGGTTCTTTTCCAATCTTAAATCTGTCTCCTCTGGTAACCGACCCACCCGCCAGTCGAAACAGTTTCTCCTTATTTACTCTTATCAAATAGAAGTAATTATGTATCTAATGGTTTTAAGCTTCAAGTTGTTTTCAACTGTAAGAAAGTTTATTTAAAAATGTAGACAATTTAATGGAGTGTTGGCCTGATCGAATCAGGTACAATGTGACCTCCAGCGTATTGCTGTCTGTAAATTTTACAGAAGTTCCTGAAAAGAGGTACAGAACTTGAAAAGCTTGGTAAGACGCTGCAGCTTGTCCCATCTTCTGAGCTTTCACAACTTCTCAACGGGGAGAGGGTAGTTTTGAGTAATGGTGGTTGGTAGTGGCTGTGCTGTAAGCATGCATTAAGTACAGTGTGTTCACAAAGTCCTGTTGCCCCCATGTTTTTTTTCTATAGTGATTGACCAACAATTGAAGAAAGATGGTAATTGTATTTAGGAGTACTTAATTATATTCAGTACAAGTATCTAACTGTACTTAGACGTCCAGAGTCTTGACAGAAAATGATCCATCGCCATGTTTGGACCACCCCAATGTGACATCTTCCGTAACATGAATGGAGTGAGGAGGAAGTTAGTGGAATCAGACATTGTTGCACTCGACTCACCTGCAACAGATAGTAAAAATAATTAATTGTAAAGAAAAACAAGGGGGATAGGTGGGTGGTAACAGGAGTGAGGAGTGAGGAGTGAATACCCTGTACTTTAAATAGAGAGAGAGGACAAGAGCATTTTTAGCATTCTGCTAGGCAATCGCCACACTGGCCACAGTCCAGTCACTTAGCACCTAGTTTGTTGGTCTAAGTGTTGCCGCTTATAAACTTTTTCCCTTTGAGGACCTCAAGATGTCCCCTCTTCCCTTGGTTTGTCCTCGCAGCAGAATCACTCACGCAGAACTAATCTAGCTTGTTTCAAAAGCAAGCCAGATATTTGAAAAATCAATACAAAGAATTATTAAACACATCATTCTGGTTTTATCTATTGGCTCATATGTCTTCCAGTCATCGTGAAAATGGCTCGTGGTTGGGTTACCGGATGATCCATTATTGGAGGGGGGGAAGAGAAGAGAGCATTTTGGTGCCTGACTTAGATTGTGCTTATCTCTATTACATAGGGCTTTGAATACTGCCTATAGAACTCCATCCCACAGTCTCTTCGCCTCGCCCCCTCCCTTGCCTCCATCTCAAGACCTTCACTTTCGGTTACCCTCCTACCCCCAACCTACCTGCCCTTCACCTCTCCTGATCCCAACCCCCAGCTCGGGTGCATATCCTTGACTGTCCAGCGCCTTGGGATGTCTTCCCAACGTGAAGAACGCTGTTTAAATGCAATTTGTTGTTGTTTGTACAAATAATCTGGGATGGGGGGAGCGGAGGAGCGTGGCAGGAAAAAAACCAAGCTAAACTCTTAACCTGAAGGTCGTCTTGAGCCCTTTCACCCAAAGGATGACATCACTTACCTAATTTCTTATGGCCTGATCTGTTTTCTAGATGTGCCGTTTGGAGGTGCCAAAGCTGGAGTGAAGATTAACCCAAAGAAATACACAGTAAGTGCACCCCCATTCTTCTTTTACGTTTAATATTTATTGCTCTTATGTCTGGGTCAGCCCAGCCTGGCTCATGTGTAGTAAACATGGTCTGACTAATTTGCACCCAGACAAGGTATTATATGCTGCTGAATGAAACTAGCCATATAAACTCATTGCTATTTTCAGTAATTGGTGTGTGATAGATCCATATGTTGCTGAATGCGTGCCTTAACAGTGATGGGAAATAGATGTCAGTGTAAAAATAAAACTGAGCTCTATAGTGTGAAGCGTTTTGAGATGTCCTTCCGATGTGAACGGCACTATATAAATGGTGGTGTACTCCCAGGAGCAGGTGAAGGTTGTCGAGGATTTAGTTTGAGAGCCTGTGATGCTACAGGAGCTTTTTCAGTGTGGATTGGAACGCACACAGTCACTGTAGTCCAACACCCACTCAGACTGACTGAAGAACTGGCTTCTGCAACCTTTGTTACTGTATCTCAATAGTTAGGTGCAATTGGAGCTTTTACTGCCTCTGCTTATTTGGATAATTTCAATCATCTGAACAAGTAATAACTGCTTTGACATCTGAACCCTTCATTAGCCCTGTAATCTGCTTTAGTATTGCCTGATTGACTGTGTTTAAACTGTTGAATCTCTGAGTTCACTGAAATGGTTTGGTGCCCAGCCAGCTGAGATCTGTCAGGCTGTGACTGAGTCGGCGAGTTTATTCTGACTCGAAAAGGAAAGTGGTTCACACGGCGGTAGAATTAATCTATGCGCTCGTGTATGTGGTATTGTGTGTGCCTCTGCATACCTGCATGTGCGAAACAAACACTAGAAGTATTGGTCATTTAAAACACTCTCGCCCACTGCATTGGTGGAGATGGCACATTTCCGATAAGATTATTGCTTGTTTAGCAATTCACTGATTTGAAGAAGGGAGTTTCTCACAGTGTCCTGCCCAGCAATCCACCAGATCATTGGTACTAACAACCGCTAGTAATTATATAAATACTTCCACAGTAAATTCATTTGTGTAAGTAGTTTACCTAGTCTGGAGATCATCGAGCAGGCAAGAAGAGAGGAGATTGAGGGTATTAAAGTGGTTGTATTTCCTACAAAAATAATTCCTACACTTGGCAGTAATTACCTGTGAAGTGCTTTGGAACATTTCTATTTGAACCTTCCTTCATGCCCCCGTCCTGCCAGCCCCCACTATCGGCAGTCAGGTTTTCAGCCTATCTACCCATCCTGGAGTCCCTTTGCTTGTCGTCTCCCTCCCCCCTTCAAAAATGTATCTTTGACCAGGCCTTTGGTCATCCTCTTCGCCTTGGACGATATTCTGCGTATCGCGCAAAACCCTGGTTAACATTCTTGGTTCTGCCTGAGCCAAGGGCTGGGAGCCAAACTACCGCTAGCAACTTTTTGTTCCACACATGTGAACAATTGCTTATTTTGGCAGAAAAATTGTTTTTCAGAATTCCACCAAGTCAGTGATCTTTACGTAGTAATACCCATTTCTCTTGCACTCTCTCTTTCACTCTCTCTCTCCCCCTCCCCCCTTTTTCTCTCTCCCCCTCTCTCTTCCCCCCCTCCTCGCCCCTTTCTCTGTCGCTCTCTGCCCCCCTCTTTTGCCCTCTGTTTGTGGAACATTGCTGCAGCCAAATTGTCTGCCAGGCCACCAAATGACACAGCCATTACGCTTTATTGTAAATAAATGCTTTGGGTTAAATATGCACATTTCTTTAACAGAATACCTTAATAAGGAAAACGCAAAATACTGCAGACCCTGGAAATCTGAAACAAAAGCATAAGTCGCTGGGAACACTCAGCAGGTCAGGCATTTATGGAGAAAGGAAAGTGAGTCAATGTTTGGGTCCACGACCCGAAACGTTGACTCACTTTCCTTTCTCCATAGATGCTGCCTGACCTGCTGAGTGTTCCCAGCGAAGTCTGTTTTTTCTGACCTTAATAAGGAATGCTGTTTTCCTGACTCCATATATTGGGCAGGCTGAGGTGGGCTCCTTGATAAAGCCAAGAAAGCCATGTGGACTAGGAAGGTCACAGTTGCAATTGTTCTCCCTATCCCTGAGTTAACAAGAGCTGATACTATCTGAGTGGGAGCTCTCTTACCTCTGAGTTTGAAAGATGTATAAATCAAACTCTATTTTGGTACTTTGAATTTATAGTCTAGGCTGCCACTACAGTGCAGAACTGAGCAGCACTGTATTAAGATGAGATGTTAAACAAGGGCTTCTCTGTCTGTTTAGATGCCATGCAGTATTGGAAAAGATGTGGGAGTTTCTTCTGGTTTCCTGACCAACAATCCTCCCCATTAATTACTAATTGGTCATTCACCTCATGCTTTTTGTGAGACCTAATTGCTGGTGCAATTAAATGTTGTGTTTGGTGGGAAAAAATCACTACATTTCACTAAACACTGGTGAGCCTCTTATTAAAAAAAAGTGCTTTCTTCTTCCAATTGCTGCAGTGGTATGGCACACTGAGTGTGACTCATGTACCAGCACATTGCACCTCTGTGCCTGTGGTAGCATTATTCAGTTTACATAAAACCAGGCTCCAAGCTAATTAAAACAAGAACAGGTTTACACAGCCTCCTCTAAATGTGTGGGATAAACACCTCTAACCTCTTTTTACCGACAAGGAAATCAACTGAGAGTTATAAGAAATGGAGTTGTTTTGGAATTATCTATGAGTTTTCACAATGATACTGGACCAATCCAGATTTTGCTTTGTATGTTCACTGTGTTTCATTGTCAAATGTGCCTGACTGTGACTGAGTCTACTCTTCATCACTTGCAGGATTCAGAATTAGAGAAAATCACAAGAAGATTCACCATCGAGCTGGCGAAGAAAGGGTTCATTGGTAAGTCGTCATGGCCAGGATAAGGCGTCCCATCCTGAGACTGTGTGGTAGAGTTGCTGTAGTTACACCAACTACACCATGTTGCTGTAGTTGTTGATTGTAACAAAGGCTGGGCTGCTCTGCAGTAGGTACCATCGGTGTGTTGGCCAATATAATGTGTGGAGCCTTGTTAGAAATTTGGTGAGAGACTGGCTGGGGAAGATTATAGGGTACTTGCTTCACTCACCTCTCCCGTAGTGTAGTGGCTAGTGCGAGCAAGTGAGAGGACCCGAGTTTGATTCCTGGGGAGGGTGAAACTTTAGGCAAGTTTTCTTACTCCACTCTTCACATGCCTCTGTTTATCTAGCAGTAAGTAGGAACCAAGTTATTAGTTGATTGGTGTATCGCCTTCTGGGGTTAATAATCCCCTCCCCACCCACAAAATTTAATTTTTCACTTCAATCCACAACTGTTTGTGGGACATTCCTGTGCTCAGCTCGCTGCCACGTTTCGCCTACAAATGCAGTTAATCCTCCCCTTTACAACATATTCTGTGAAGTGCTTTGAGACATCTCAACCACAAAAGGTGCTGTATCAAATGCAACGATTATTATTATTACCTATCTCAGACTCTTCAGTCTTTGAAGATTTTTATCCATACCCAGATAAAAGACCTGATCCTGCAAAGCTACATGTCCCAGCCAAACACATATCACATGAATCCATCACCTGGAGCGAAACCTTAGGCAAGTTTCCTTGCTCCACACTCCTCTGTTTACCTAGAGGTAAATATTGCATCTTGAATACTATTTAATGAGATTGCTCTTATGGTCTCTCAGAGTAGCATATCAAGTGCTGCCTTAAAGGATGTTTATTTATTTAAATGATATCAAGTGAAGAATCAATACAAGATCCAAAACTTAAAAGACAGCTGCAAAAGAACATTGAGAATTGAGCAAGTAATCTTTGCGGGAAGTTACTGCCCTACTTTAGGCCCTGTTACATGGATGCACAGAATTCTGACCTAATTGAGTAGTACGTCCATCAACTAAAATTGGTTTTAGGACGTGTTGATTTATAGGGAAAAAACAGCTCCTGCTGCCCCAATAGCCTCTGCTGGAAAACCCAAGTGTCAGGACAGGATCAGGCTTTTATTATGAATTTCTTTTGTTTCATTTTGTCGTCCCCACCACATAGGTAAGTCTAATGATCACAGTCTAAGAACACAACAAAGAAATTGGTAGTGCGGGGGGTGGGTGGCGGAAGAAGGAAAGAGAATAGAGAGCATATAATTTAAGACCAACTTAAAAGATTAAAGCAAGACCAATTGTGTTTTGTTCTAGGACCTGGCATTGATGTACCAGCCCCTGATATGAGTACGGGTGAGAGAGAGATGTCCTGGATCGCTGACACCTTTGCCACCACAATGGGACACCAGGTGGGAACACCAAGGGAGTCATGAGAATGGGCCTAATAGTCTGCTTTGTAGATGTACTGGCGGGAGGGGAGGTGGGAGAGAGAATGTCAGACAGCCTGATGAACACATTTAAAGCTGTCTGTTTGTTGCGGGTGTTCTGTTTGTTATTACTGCTTGCTAATACATCCCAGTAACTGAGAGATGGAAGCAGACTTTCTTTGCCTTGCGGAGTGTTCCACTTCTTCCAATGAACATGGTGAGCAAGGAAAGGGATATGGCCTGCCTGTCTGCAGGTCGATTCCCTCTGTGGTAGTATTTGGGCTCTGATCACTTAAACCCTGGCAGGCAGGACTATTGGGGGTGGAGATTGAGTCCGGCAAACCAGAATTTCTGGCCATGTGTAATTAAAATGCTGTTACTGGCATTTACTAGTGTTTTTCAGTGTTCAAAAATGCCAGTAAATGCCTGCATTGTGATTGTTTAAATATCGCAAGCAGAAGATAGCGAATAAGCTGTCGATGTATCTAGCCACTGAAGGCAGCTAGAACGGTGAGGTGAGGCATGTGCTAGCGCAGGTGGGCCAGCGAGAGACTACTTGTGGATACACTGCTGTATTTCAAACCTCTCTTAAGCCTTCTAAGTTGTCTGTTGAAGTTCCATTGAAGGCTACACTAGAAAATGCGGGGAAATGATCTCTTCAAGGAAGGAAAGAAGCACATTCAGTTTTATTTTTCGACTTCTGGCCATTATACTCTATGACTGACTGCCTCTTCATATAAATTGTTCATTTTTCTGTCATCAAGCGGCTGAAAATCTGGATTGCTGGGGAATCGGGCTGGACCTTGTATGTGGCCTTTGAAAACAGACAGCGTCCCTTCCAGCTAATGAGCTCAGAGATGGCAGGCCCAAGGCTCAATACTTGCTTTGGAAATAATCCAGAACTTCTAGCTCTGTCAAGCGGATCAGAGTCACCCAGGTCTTTTTCGTTGTTGAAGCTGTTTCAGTTGTGTCTCATTATTTTCATCTCTCACCTAAACTCTTATGGGATCAAGGTTATGATATTCCTAATCACGTCACATTCCTATTTATGGAACAGTGTTGACATGAGTTCTGAACAGTGGTAGGGGCCCAAACAGGTCTGGATGCCACCATTTTGAATTCTCACTTGCCATGTATTTGTGAGTGCCTCAAACAGCTTTTCCAAGCTTATTCTGAAGGGAATGTCCTAACTCAATTCTATTGGACAGTAATCTGTGAATAAGCCAGAGAGGCCATACATACAACCATTGGTTTGAGCCTCAGGGTGAAATCTCAGACCTGCCCACTCTGTATGGCTTAACCCAACCCTGGATCATCCAGTTTGGCCAATAGATTCTGGATTTGAAGTATAATCTCATTTAAAAACGTTCTTTGCAATGAATTTACTGCCTGTGTTATATTTTTATCTATTGCCTGAAATCTAGTTAGTTGAGGGCATCCTTCCTATACCAGTTTACTCGTTTGCATATCTATTATGTGACAAACAACTTCATTAACTAAACCAGATCCTAAGCAGTGGTGAGAGGTTGGAATTGTGATTGCTACCTTATTATTTAATATTATTCTGTTATCCAGGCACTTATTGTTTAACTGGTTAAACTTCAGTAGTACCCCAACCACGACCCCAAGCCTTGGCACTTGCGAACCTACGCCAAATACTCTCCAGAATTACGTAAGCAGGATGCGTCCCTCCAGGGAGAGAGTGTGCATTTCATTCCAGACACAGGGAAATATCCATGCGTAAGTGGCATGTATCTGTGGAAGTCAGTCTGGTTTGGATACTCTCAAACTTGGTAATGGGTTTCTGCAATGGTCAGACACCCGACTGACCGAACAAAATCTTACCTTGATCGAAATGTTTGTAATAGCACAACATTGCCACAAGGTGGCAGGCCACATATACTACGAATCATTCCAGATGCATCTAAATGTCTGCCTGGTATGGATGGAGAAGTTATTACATTTCAATTTGCAGGCAACTGTTAGTCATCCTAACAGACTTATTGTACGCATTCTCTCACACATTGCAGTATTCAGTTTCCGTTTGCTGTCCTGTGGAATATGAAAACTTGAACTTTCCTTGGGTATTTCGGTGAAAATAGATTGCCAGGGTGGGAAAGAGGGAAGAACGTTGAGGTTCTTAATATTTATTCCAGAGCTGTTGTGTGTTCCAGGATATCAATGCTCACGCCTGTGTAACAGGGAAGCCCATCAGCCAGGGTGGCATTCATGGCCGCATTTCTGCTACAGGCCGCGGGCTCTTCCACGGGATTGAAAACTTCATCAATGAAGCCTCCTACATGAGTGTGCTGGGCATGACCCCAGGTTTTGGAGACAAGACTTTTGTCATTCAGGTCAGTTCAACAACTTGCATTTTACACAGCGCCCTTTACACGGGGCAGTGTCTCAGAGTGCTTAACAGTGGCGGAGCCTGAAGCCGAGTCTGGGGGAAGTTGGTGACCGTTTGAAGAGGAGTGTCTTCAGTTGATGATCTAAAAGGGGGGGGAAGGAGATACAAAAGCAAAAATAATAAAAAAAAGTATAAAACCATAATGGGTGAGTGTGCCTCTTTGAGGATGAAGTGATTATATCTGCCTTCCTACAGGGATTCGGGAATGTGGGTCTGCACTCCATGAGGTACCTTCATCGTTATGGCGCCAAGTGTGTGGGAATTGGTGAAATAGATGGGGCTATCTGGAACGACAATGGCATCGATCCCAAGGAGCTGGAAGACTATAAACTGGTATGGGAATCTTGGAGTGTGCAGAGGAGGGAAAGAGAACTGGGATTAAATGTCCTCTGGTGGGAGTACTGGTAGAACATAAGAATTGCTAGATGAAAGAAGACCATGGTCCATCCAGTTTGCCTTCCATCATCCTGGCAGTTGCTTGCACATGTCACGTCCCAACCTATATACTGTGTCCCGAGATATTATTTCCTAAAAAAAATCTGTTTAATCTGCTTTTGAAAAAATCTAAACTTTCTGCTTCCACCATCTCCCTAGAGAGCTTGTTCCATACATTTACTACTCGTTCACTGAAATAGTGTTTCTGCAGATCTGCTACTAATTGGTTCTGCAGCTACTGCTATGTAGAATGCAGCCTTATTGACTGAACAAAGTCCTGCAGTGTTAGACTTGATAATTGGAGATTTTCCCGGATCTGGCTTTTTTCTGACGTGGGTAGAACAAATATTGGTATGGGTCATGCATTCTACCTGCTGGAGCTTTGCTATACCAATATTTGATGAGAGGTGGGTTGTACAGTGACTGGAAAAGGTTACATAACCTCAATCAGATGCCTTTTGTTTGCAATTCTGGAGACATTTCAGTGATTGCTCACACAAGAGTTTGCCATCCTAGAGCTGGAGAGGGAAGATATCAGCCAGGATTCCCACTCCTGATCACAATCTATTGCTCAGCCCTGACTGCAGGTAACTAGTGGCCACTGAGATGCGAAGGAAAGCACTGCTTAGAATGCAATTTTATCTCCAAAGAAAAACGAGAAAAGAAGACTGAGATAGATAGATTTCTTATTGCTAAAGGGATTAAGGGATATGGGGATAAGGCAGGGTCAGGTTATTAGCTGGAGTTAGATTAGAAGATCAGCCATGATTGAATGGCGGGGCAGGCTCGAAGGGTCGAATTGCCTACTCCTGCTCCTACATGTTATGTTATGAATGAGGCTTAGCATGTCACAACTTGGGAGAAGATGGGCACTTACGATTTAAGATATTTGGCAAAAGAACCAGAGAGGAGAAGAAGAAAAGAAATGTATGCAGCGAGTTGTTATGAACTGGTGGAAGCAGATTCAGTAATGACTTTCAAAAGGGAATTGGATATTTACTTGAAAAGAAAGCATTTGCAGAGTTATGGGGTCAGAGTGGGGGGTGTGACTAGTTGGTAGCTCTTTCAAAAAGCTGGTACAGACGCAATGGGCCGAATGGCCTTCTGTGCTGCAGGATTCTCTAATGCTGCAGGATTCTCTATCTGTCACAGAGTAACTAAATGTTTGGCGTTGTGGCTACAGGCAAACGGAACAATTGTTGGATTCCCCAAAGCGAAGCCATACGAAGGGCAGATCCTGGAGGCAGAGTGTGACATTCTGATCCCCGCTGCCGGAGAGAAGCAAATGACAAAGAGAAACGCCCACAAGGTCAAGGCAAAGGTGAGTGGGGGCCGCCTGAGCCTTTCCCAGCTCGCTTCAGCCATTAGTGTAGGTGAAGAGGATACAATACAAAATTACATTTGTAAAGTGCCTTTCACGTCGAGAGGACGTCCAAGGCCTGAACAGTCAGGGATTAAGACCTGAGCGGGGGTGGGGGGGGCGATTAGGGAGGGTGGCCGAAAGCACCATCGAAGAGGAGGGTTTTGAAGCATGCCTTGAAGGAGGCAAGGGAGGGAGCGAGGCAAAGGTTTTATAAACAGCGAGAGGTTTAGGAAAATTTCCACAGTGGAAGGAACTTGTGGCTAAGCTCAGGTGGAGGGGGAAGAGGAATGAGCAGCAAACCTGGCTTGCAGGGGGCTGAGGCGGAGCAGGCGAATGTGTTTGATTAGCTTCGAGGTAGGGATTGTCAAGGGTGTGTTAGGAGTTTTGGGAGCTGACATCATATAACCATATTTTAATTCTTTACTGAATATACAGAAGCATTGTAGCATTTGCACAGCAGTTGTGATGGCAGCTTTTGGTTTTCTATTTCTATCCCAGTGGAGGAGATCCCCCTTTGTGTGAAACACCCAAAACTGTGTTTCACAAGGTCATAAGATTGGTTTGAATAAAGAAAGCCCACGTGATCTCCTCCCTCTAGACTACCCACTACCATCACAGCAACAAGCTGTTTATTAAACGAGTCCCAGTGTTCTGTGCAGGGGGTGAGGCGGAGCAGGCAAATGTATTTGATTAGCTTCGAGGTAGGGATTGTCAAGGGTGTGTAGGGAGTTTGGGGAGCTGACATCATATAACCATATTTTAATTCTTTACTGAGTATACAGAAGCATTGTAGCATTTGCACAGCAGTTGTGATGGCAGCTTTTGGTTTTCTATTTCTGTCCCAGTGGAGGAGATCCCCCTTTGTGTGAAATACCCAAAACTGTGTTTCACAAGGTCATGAGATTGGTTTGAATAAAGAAAGCTCATGCCTCTCTTCTGGCTCTGTTCCCATTCCCCTAAAAACTGCCATCATCACTCCCACTTTGAAAAAGCCCTCCCTTGATGCGTCGCAGCTATCAAGCTAGCGGCCCATCTCCAACCTCCCCTTCCTGTCCAAGGTCCTTGAAAGAGTTGTCGCCTTCCAGCTGTGCTCTTTCCTCTCCACCCATGCATTATTTGAACCCCTTCAGTCGGGTTTCCGTGCTGCCCATAGCACAGAAACCGCCCTGGTCAAGGTCATCAATGACATCTTGACCATCTGCGCCCAGGGCTCCCTCTGCCTCCTCGTCCTCCTCAACCTATCGGCAGCATTCGATACGGTCAATCACGCTATCCTCCTCCACCGCTTGTCCTCCCACCTCAACCTTCAAGGCCCTGTCCTTGAGTGGTTTAGGTCGTACCTCTCCCACCATCTTCATTTTGTTTCCACAAACGGCTTTTCCTCCAGCCCCTCACTGTCTCTTGCGGTGTCCCTCAGGGCTCTGTCCTCGGTCCCCTCCTCTTCACCCTCTATATGCTCCCCCTCGGTGACATCATCCGCAGACATGGGGTTAACTTCCACATGTATGCGGATGACACCCAACTCTACCTTTCCTCCTCTACCCTCAACTCCACGACCAAAGATGTCCTGACAGCTGCCTGTCCGACATTGAGTCCTGGACGAGAGACAACTTTCTTCAGCTCAACATGCACAAAACTGAGGCCCTCCTGATTGGCTCCCGTCAACGCCTCCGCACTTCAGGCGCTGACAGCATCAGCATCCAAGGCTGCACTCTCCACCTTTCAAAGCCAGTCAGGAACCTCGGTGTTCTGTTCGACCCTGAGCTGTCCTTTCTTCCTCATATCCGCGCCACAACTGGCACCGCCTTCCATCACCTGCGAAACATCGCCAGACTACGGCACTACCTCACCCCTCACGCTGCTGGAACTCGGGTCCACGCCTTTATCACCTCAAGGCTGGACTATGGGAACTCTCTCCTCGCTGGCCTTCCCGGCACCTCCTCCACAAGCTGCAGGTCATTCAGAACTCCGCAGCTCATGTACTGTCCCGCACCAGGCTTCGCGACCACATCACTCCCACCCTCGCTCGCCTCCACTGGCTCCCCATCCCCCAGAGGATCGAATTCAAGATCCTCATCCTCCCCTACAAGACCATTCATGGCCTTGCTCCCCCCTACCTCTCTGACCTACTATCCCCCTACCTACATGCCCATACCCTCCGTTCCTCTGGCTCCGGTCTGCTCCACATCCCCCGCCCCAATCGCCCTACCATCGGTGGCCGGGCCTTCAGCCTCTCAGCCCCGAGGCTCTGGAACTCCATCCCCCAGTGCCTTCGCCGCTTCCTCCCTTTCCTCCTTCAAGGCCGGTCTCAAGACGTTTCTCTTTGACCGTGCCTTCAGCTCCCCTCTCGACTCTCTACCCCCTCCTCGCTCCCTCCCTTCCCTCCCCTCACCCTGACCATTCCCCCCCTGCTCAGGTCCTGACCCAACTGTCCAGCGCCTTGGGACGTCCTCCTGACATGAAAGGCGCTCTATAAATGGAATAGTTGTTGTTGGCCTCAACCAAGCTTCCTGCTCCAGTCATTAATTACCCTCTGAGTAAAGAAAAACTTACTGGTGTCTGTCCTGAAATTGCCCTTTACAACTCGGCATCCTCTTGTTCTACTGTCTTGGTGCATCCTAAAGTATTGTTTCAGGTTTACTTTTTCAATCCCATTTAAAATGTTATACACCTCTGTGATGCCTCCTCTGAGTCATCTTCTCTCAAGACCTAAGCGCCTTAGCTTGTCTAAACATGGTTCATAATATCCTCTATGATCATTATAGAATGTGAGCCACAACCACTGTTCTAAGGCTGGTGAGGCACTCGATCAGCACCACCTTTTTCAACCAACTCTTTCTTTCCCAGAACCCCATTCAGTAGAATTCCTCGCCTTCCTCAGTCTTCTCTTCACTCTAGAATCACAAGCTTTTAACCCCCAAGATCCTCAATACATCAACCTCTCACATTAAAAGATAATGGGTTCAAACCTTATGTTGAGACTGGAGTTGACAGTGTAGGCTGACTCGCAATGCAGTACTCTGAGCGTTCTGCATTTCAAAAGTCTTCTTTCAGGTGTGATGTTGGACCAAGGACCCCTCTGCCTGTTCACATGGACTTTAAGGATCATGGCCAACAATCCCTTGGATTATTCATTCGTGTTTAGGGGACTTTGTTGTAAAGTTTGTAATGGGATTAAAATATTTGACAGTAAAATTTGGTGGAATAGGTTAATTGGTCTGAAATGCATCCTGCTGTTTCTGTATTCCTACACTTTACAGTAATTGCCTGTCAAGCATCTCAAAGTGAAGTGCGACAGATGTGCACGTTTCAGGGGCTGACTTATTCATCAGTAGCTAAGTAATTATTTATTTAATGAACCATCCGGTGAAATATGATCTTCAAACTCATCATGCAAACACAACTATATTTGCTTCAAGGCAACTTTAATGACCCCATTGCTCTGCCAGTGCCCCACCCGTGTCCTCTGCACTGAAAGCTTGATGTCTCTCACATACCTACTAAAGTACTCTTGCCACAGACGGGCTTTAAAATTGCTCTCTGTTCTACACAATGATTCGTGGTGGGTTGTGTCACCTCCTGTAAATAGCTTGGCACTGCCTATGGGTCAGACAGTAGGTTATTTTATAATAATAATCATCCTTTAGATGTCTCATTTTATATAGCGCTTTATAATGTTGTTGATGCGTCTCAAAGAGTTTCACAGAGTATGTTGTAAAGTGAATTGACTATTTTGTGGACAAAACACGGCAGGCAGTCAATTCCCCACAGCAACGTTTCACAGTCATGGATTGAATGACCAAATTTTTTTTAAAAGGGGATTATTACCCCGCCAAAGCAATCTGCCAATCGATTAACAATCGGATTCTTACTTACTGCTTAGTAAACAGAGGCGTATGAAATCTAAGGATTATTATTAATATTCCCCTGTCTCATCATTGATGGACAAGCTTTCTGCCACGTTGCTCTCACCCTGTAGAACTCTTCCAAATCCCCCATCCTTGCCCACGCCTTGTAGGCTTTCCAAACCTGAACACAAACCCTATCTTTTTGACTACCTCCTTTCTCCAAGCTTGGGCTACCACTCAGTCTTTGTAAACTGCTTTGTGATGTTCTCCCTACATGATAGGTGCTGTATAAATGAAGATTGCTGTTACATATCTAAATTATGCATAATCTGGGTCCAGCACTGGAGGAAATGTTGTTTATCTACATTAATGCCTTCTGTGATTATATCATCTCGGAACCTTGGTGGTACTAACTGGAGCCTTGTGTTTTGCAGATCATTGCTGAAGGAGCCAACGGACCAATAACTCCTGAAGCTGACAGGATCTTCCTGGAGAGGAACATCATGGTGATTCCGGTCAGTATTCAGAGGAGGGTTAGTTGCCTCTAGCTAACAGTAGGGGTGCTGGAACTAACTATTTGATGATGCATTAAGTTTCCTATTGAGATTCTGATATTCAACATTGAAGGTAAGCGATTTGGCTTTGATAGAATATGGAATCATTCGATCTTCTGTAGCAGTCTCGGTAGTCCAATTCGTCAGGTGGAGAGTCTGCAGTAATCCAAGGAACTGTTGATGTCAAATTAGTCAGCCTGGCTCATTAGCAGAATTTGGAGGAACAGACCAGTCACTGGGAGCTAGGAGTCTTCCCACTCAGCTCCTGTTAATCTTGCAAGCCAAAGCCCTAACGGGTCCTAGCTGGACAAACCATGTTCACAGTGGTTTTAGCTGGTTAGTCTGCAGCGGTTCCCCCAGCACATACTCTGGTGTCACAACCTTGGTTTAGGCTTTTGCCAAACTGCACCTAATATACTATCCAAGAATAAGTGGTCAGGGTGCATCTTTCCATGAGAGTATGCATTCCATGCTGGACAAAAGGAAATTTCCATGCACAGGTAGAACTCTTGAGTGGTTTGACTGTTCTTAAGCATGGTGATGGGAGTCTTCATGTGTCAGGAGACCCAGCTTGCCAAAATTAAAACTTTCAGGAGTATTGACTTAAGTAAATCCAGTTCGAGAGCACATTCCCCCTATCACTTCTCCCTTTGCCCAACTTTCCCACTTCTCCCTGTGCCTGACATTCCCGTTCTCCCTGTGTTTCTCTACAGGATCTGTATTTGAACGCCGGAGGAGTCACCGTCTCCTACTTTGAATGGTTGAAAAACCTGAACCACGTCAGCTACGGCCGTCTGACCTTCAAATACGAACGGGACTCCAACTACCACCTACTCAGTAAGTAGATGTGTACTCAGTAAGTAGAGTAGGATTTCTGTGAGTAGTCTACCACATTAACGTTCGCATTTTCTTAACTCGGTAGAAAGCAGTGTAGAATCCTGATTTTGCAGACTGAGCAGCAATGATTAGCAGCACAGTAATTGGGTGGTGCATTCTCCTATGGCAGCTCAGTTTGATCCCTCATGGAGAGGGGAGTTGGAAAAGATTTTCTGCTAAGTACTGTTGGAGAACTATCATACATATCACTGGCTGACTCAGTGGTAGTACTGTCACATCTTGAGTCATAAGGTTGTAAGTTCAAGCCCCACTTAGGGACTTGAAACTTTTATTGTCTAGAGTGACTAGACTCCAGTGTAGTGCTAGTGGTGTGAGACATTGTTGGAGGTGCTGTCTTTCGGATGAGACATGAAACCGAGGACCCATCTGCCTGTTCAAGTGGATGTTAAAGATCCCTTGGTACTATTTGAAAAGAGAAGGGAGTTTCTTATTCCTGGTGTCCTGGCCAACAATCCCTCAAAATAAAAAAAAGGTCATTAACTTAATTGATGTTTGTGGAATATTGCTGTGCATAAATTAGCTACATCACCCACAAAACACACAGTCACTATACTTTACATATACACTCAATTGAAGTGCTTTGGGATGTTGCCCCGAGCGAAAGGTGCTATTCAAATTTAAACATTATTATTATACCTTATGCTGATCTGTCGCCTCTACAGCTTGGGTTGTCATGATCCAGCTAAGAACAAATCCAGTCGAGGCTCACAAGGCATGAAACACGCACCCACTCTCTCTCTTTAATAAATCACCAATCTGTTTTCATGGGGTGTTTCTCTGAGAGGTCCTGAAAATGTTGCTCCTCATTCTCATAAAACAAAAGGAATGCTGAAACAAGATCTGCAAAAGGCATGTGTGGAGGCAAGCCTTGTATTAGGCTGTTAGGGAGTGGAGTCCCGTAGGGTATTAAATAGAGCACTCGTCACCCAAGCAAGAGGACCAGGATTTGATTCCCAGGCAGGAGTGAAATTTTAGTTAAGTTTCCATACTCCACATGCCTCTATTTGCCTAGCTCAGTAATTGTTTGGATCAGTGACTGGTAGCTTGCTCAGCGAGTGGCTGACTCACTGAATCCTCCTGCAAGAATGCTCATATTTCAGGGCTGCTTTCCAACTTGCCTTCTTTTATTTAAGTCCTGATTCTCTAGCATAAAGGTGTTCCATACAACAAGCTTGGTTGAAACTGCTAATTGTTCTGCACAAATGGGTTGTCGAACGGGGGCAACAAGTAGGAACCCTTAGTCGGTTAACAGATAGTCGGTTAGTCTATCGACAGATAGATAGATAGACTAACAGATCTGTCAACTAGTCGGTTGACAGATCTGTATTTTCCAGGAGTATTAATCTTTTTTTAAAAAAAGTCTGCCTGTTCAGGTGAATATTACATATCCCATGGCACAATTTGAAAAGAGGAGGAAGCTTTTTTTCCCAGTGTCCTGGGAAACAGTCCCTCAAATAAAATTGGTCACTCCCCCACAGCTGGGTGGAACATTGTCCCGAATGGTGAGCCCAAAAATCAGTGCCACATACTATTCTGTGAAGTGCTTTGAGACGTCCCAATGACATTCTAAGGCACTGTGTCAAATGCAAGGATCATTATTATAAAATTGCAACATTATGGGATAGTGGAATGTGATGGGTGTTTTATTGCCCCTGTACCTGGGTTTGAGTGAGAGAATAGTGCCACTATTATCCCCTGAAAAGAGTTTGAGGAGGGATATCATGTAATTATTGTATCAAATGCAAAGATTATCATTACCCCTGGGATTGATGGGGACAGGGTTTTTCTGCACAGTGCTCTGAGACCCTGCCCTGTATGAAGGGCGCAACATAAATGCAAGTTGTTGTTGGTGCTATACATGGTTCCATTTTGTCTCTACAATTAAGTGGTTGCTCATTTCTTTGCAGTGTCTGTCCAAGAAAGTTTGGAGAGGAAATTTGGCAAGCATGGTGGTACAATACCAGTTGTGCCAACAGCGGAATTCCAGGCCAGGATTGCGGTGAGTCTCCCGATTGGGTTTCCTTTCCCATATCCGCAGTGGACAGATAAACCAGTCTGGACAAACTACGTGAGGTGTGTGGTGATGTGATTAAACTGGTGGAACAGGCTTGGTGGACTGAATGGCTTCTTTTCCTATGTTCAGTGAGGGCTGAAATCAGGTTTCTGGTTGAATGTCTAGCCTCTGAAATGAAACCTCTTAAAACATAGCCACGAAAGCCTAGCTCAGGCCATTTCAGTCAGCAGCTTCAATCAGGAGGGAAGTAAAGGAGAAAATTGGGGCGAGTTGGAAAATGTGATGTGAAATGCATGAGTGGGGGAATCTGCTCTCAATTTAGATTTGAATTTGTGTTTTTAACCAATTCTGCTTCATGGTCCTGGGAGGCATGGGTGTGATGGGGGGAAAAAATGTCATTATTAGGGATAATTATACTCAGGTTTAGTGTCTGTTTGATTCATTTTCCTAAGTGAAAATGAGCAAGAGATTAAAGGGCAGCACAGAATAAACATCAACAACAAAATTACATTTGTGTAGTGCCTTTCATGTAGGGAGGATGTCCCAAGGCGTTGGACAATCAGTGTTTTGGACCCAAGCTGGGGGTCGGGATCGGGGAGGGTGGCGGGCAGGGGGAAAGGAGGGTGATCGAAGGCATGGTCGAAGAGGCGAGTCTTGAAGGAGGCAAGGAGGGGGGACTGTGGGATGGAATTCCAGAGGGTGGGGGCAGAGTGGCTGAAGGCCCGCCTGCTAATGGTGGGTCGGGTGAGGCGGGGGACGTGAAGCAGGCCAGAGCCTGCTGAGCAAGGCCATGAAAGGCTTTGAAGGTGAGGACCAGTATCTTGAACTGTATCCCCTGTGTGATCGGAAGCCAGTGGATTCGGACGATGATGGGGCTTATAGGGTCACAGAGCCTGAAAGATTGTAATTCCCTTGGCGCTCCATTCAAACAAGATCTAGAAGCTGTATGTTTGCTTTGGAAGGAAAGAAATTATGAAATAAGACTTTGCTGAGCAAAGTTAGCAGATATAAATGTTGAAGCGTGTCACTTTATTTGTACTAGACAGGACCAGGAATGGTTAGATTTCTGTGTAGTGCTCAGTTTTGTTTATCATGCACTGCGCTCCTCTCGACCACTGAAGTCACGTGGAGTCCTGTAGCTCAGTGGTTAGAGCACTCGCTTTGCAAGTGAGAGACCTGAGTTCAATTCCAGGCAGGGCGAAACCTTGGGCAAGTTTCCTTACTCCACACGCCTAATAATAATCCCTCCAAAAAACCAAAAACAATAATTAAATTGGTCATTTTCAATCTACGACTGTTTGTGGGACATTGCTGTGCGCAATTGGCTGCCGCGTTCGCCCACAAATATACAGTCAATTCACTTTACAGTGTGTTCTGTGAAGCGCTTTGGGACGTCCTCCCGACGTGAAAAGCGCTATATCAAATGCAAGGATTATTATTATTGATTATTATTATTAATTGTTCACGATAAAGAACTTTCCCTTTCCGGGTTTGAGAGGAGCACAGCAGAGTCTTTGTGTGATCTACATGAGCCTTTGATCCTGCTTCTGAGCTGTTTTAATTCCCTCGAATAAAGGATGCTGTGAATTTCAGTTCACCAGGCTTCTGGCCTCCTTAGAAATCTGTCAGACATCTGCTCTCCTACGTGTGGAGGATGTCTGACCAATTCTGCAACATCCTGCATTTACTGTATCTGGCATCTTTCAAATAGAATGGGAGTCTTGTAACGTAGCAGTTAACTCACTCGTCTCGCCAGTGAGAGGACCAGGGTTTGATTCCCGGGCAGAGCGAAACCTTAGACACACCTCTGTTTACCCAGAAGCAAGTAGGAACCCAGTTATCAGTCGATTGGGGGATTGCTTTTCGGGTGTTATAATCCTTTTTTTAAAAAAAATGTGATCATTCAATCCATGACTGTTTGTGGGACACTGCTGTACACAATTGGCTGCCACGTTTCGCCCACAAAGTATACAGTCAATCCACTACAATATATTCTGTGAAGCACTTTTGGGACTCTCAGTGCTTTGATGTAGCACCAATTTAAATCAAATGCAAGGATTATTATTATTAAATTTCAAAACACTTCACAAAGGCAATGAGAATCACTGAGCAAGAAAGGGAGTGTGAGTTGCTATCGAACACATGCTGGGTTCCGTTCTGAGATGGTGCAATGTAAATTGCTTGACAGATCTACTCCTATATAAAATAACTTTGAGAGCAGAGGGAGATTCATTTGCTGCCAACCTGTGAGCCTGACATTAAGGTACCAGAGACTCGCATTTAAACTAGGAGTCCGTTCAATTAAACCAGACATCAGTTCATAATCTGACTTTGTCTCAGGGTGTTTGCCCATGTCTACAAGCAGTATTCTCATTTCCTGTGTTGATCTCTTTATAATATCCATGCGGGGACCACATTGCAGTGACTCATTCTCATTATAAAACCAGGTGGAAGTGAACAGCAGGTGTTGTCTGCTGTTGAGGATGGCTTTTAAGTTGAGGCCTGTCATTGGCTACTTTCCATCAGCTCTCTGTAAGCTGGTTTGTGAAACTACGACCATTTTAAACCCACCTACTGACTGATCAAGCTCTGCTGCTAAATGTAGAGATCTTGGGATCAAATCATGGTAACTTTCAATATGTCTTAATTCTATACTAGCTTGCTCTATGTCCCCCGCCCCACAGTTGGTGTACAGGCTTTCAGCTTTTCTGTCCCCACCCTCTGGAACTCCATCCCTGAATCCCTCCCTCTGCCTCACCCCCTCCTTTGCGTCCTTCAAGGCCCATCTCAAGACCTTCCTCTTTGACCGTGCCTTCAGCCACACTCCTACTCCACCTACCCTTCAACCCATTTAATTTCAACACCCAGTTCGGGTGCAAACCCTTAAATGCCCTGCACCTTGGGACATACTACCAACTTGAAAAGCTCCACACTAATTTGTTGTTGTTTCCTGGCTAGTGTGCAGTCTCGCCTTGAATTACCTTATACACCAGTTTCTTGTGAAACCTGAGAGAAGAGCCACAGGTGCTTGGAATGGAGAGTGTTTGTTTAGGTTGGAATAATCGCTTTAACTGATTAACTGACCCAATAAAGGGGAAAAGGCAAAAAGAGGCGCCATCCCTGAACAACAGGATTTGTGTGTGAAGTGCTGGTTTTACTAAATCATTCGCTCTCTCTCTCGCTCACAGGGTGCCTCCGAGAAGGATATTGTGCACTCTGGACTTGCATACACCATGGAGCGCTCAGCCAGGGTAAGGACTGGGGTTGAAGAGTTGCAGATTCACCTCCGGCTGTGGAGTTCAAGTTGCCTTTATATTGATTCCCATCCCTTGCTGTGTAACCGAGCACTGATTTAGTTATTCTTCAGATTTCATAGAGGACCTTCACTGATATGTGAAGTTTCTCCTTTTTTTGCCTATCACGAGCACAAATACAATGGTCTGGTCTGCTGGCTGTTTGGCATTTAAAAATCCCACATCTAATATTGGAGTCCTGTAGCTCAGTGGTTAGAACACTCGCCTTGCAAGCGAGAGACCTGGGTTCAATTCCTGGCAGGGTGAAATATTGGGTACGTTTCTTTAGTCCACACACCTCTGTTTACCTAGCACTAAGTAGGAACCTGCTTGTTAGTTGATTGGCTTATCAATTTTCCAGGGGTAATAATTCCTTTTTTAAAAAAAATAAATTGGTCACTTCAATCCACGACTGTTTGTGGGACACTGTTGTGTGCAATTGGCTGCTGTGTTTCGCCCACAAAACATGCAATCAATTAACTTTAGAGTAAATTCTGTGAAGCACTTTGAGCCATCTCGAAGACATGATAAGGCACTATATCAAATGCAAGAATTCCTATTATTGAAAGATCCCATCAGGACACGTACATGTAGAAAACAAATTCCTCTTGGGTGGAATAGTGGAAAGAATGTGCATTTTTATCGTGCCTTATCATGTTGATAACATCTCAAAGCACTGGTTTTGGTAGACAGATATTACGGCAAGGTCCCTGAACAGCCAAAAGGTGGTCACGTCACCAGGAGAATCTACCTTCTCTTTTTCAAGCATACCGTGAGACCTTTAACTCTCACCCAGACAAGGCCTCGGTTTAATGTCTCATTTGAAAGATTTTTTCCTCTTAGCATTTCCTTTAACACTGCATTAGAGTGTCAGCCTAAACTGGTCACTCAATCCACAACTGTTTGTGGGACACTGCTTTGTTTTGCCCACAAAATACACTGTCAATTCACTTTACAGTATACTCTGTAAAGCCCTTTGAGACATCTCAACGATGTGATAAGGCGCTATATCAAATTATAGGTTTATTATTATACTTTCAAGCTGCAGCACAGAGCAGTGGGGGAATGAAATCTTCCATTCCTGATTCAGGGAGTGGTAATAAATTGAGAACTAACATTCCGTCCTAGATTATCCAATTGAATTCATGTAACAAGATCCAGTCCCCTTTCAAGCTTCAGTTGCAAACACAGAGAAGTACACTGAGGAATTGAATAAGCGAGTCCCTTCAGAGATCATTGGACAGTAAGGGATAAATTTGTGTCTTTCCCCCATTTCAATATTGGAGAGACCTATTCTGCCACACGCAGCTGCTAAGTATTTAGCCCTTGGCAATGTTACGTTTGCAGTTTGGTATCTTGTTTACCGACAAAGGCCTTGCCTTGTCCTGATTAATTCAGATATAATCATTCCCACAAGACCTACTATTTTGGTTTGTTCTGTAAACACTTTCCCATGGTTCAATTTTCAGTAAACTATCTGCATCTTCCTTTCCTTCCCTCTTTTTCCCTCCCTCCCCCCCATCATTGCCTTTGATGCAATTCTGACTAATCACAACATTGGGAAGGTTGGCAATGCTGGGAACTGCAGTGTTTTTCCAGTCAGCTACAGCAAATACCCACCCTAGTGAGATTCAGGACAGCTATAGTAATCTTAAAAGCCCCACCCCCAAGAAAATAAAGTTTCCTCATGCCAGTGAGACATTGAGTCAACCTCAAAGTCTAATCGCAAAGACTTTCAAAAGGGAATTGGATATAAACTTGAAAAGAAAAAAATTGCAAGTCTATGGGGAAAGAGCGGGGGAGTGTGACTAATTAGATACCTCTTTTAAAGAGCCAACACAGGCGCGATGGGCCGAATGGCCTTCTTCTATGTTGTATGAGTCTATGACTTTTATGCTAAATCCGTACAATGGATATTCTGTTATGGAAAAGCTCATTAATAATGATCTGTATGCTAGACCAGCAAACTTTAGACCCAGTGTTTCCTACAGCATTATGTGCCCCTTCTCCAAGTGAGATTCCCAACCTGTCCATGAGTGACATTCATTCGCGTGACCTAAGATGAGACAGTCTGCTGACATGCTTGGTATGGAAATTTTTTAGGCTACCCACTTTCCTATGCACACAATATTTGCAAGTATAAGTTAAAATACAATTGTTTCCTCTTCCAAGGTCATTGAACCCATTGGAGCGAAGGCTTGTCTTATGAGACTATTATATCATCAGTTGTGTCGACGCTAAAAGTATTTTTGCTTTCGACTTGCAAATAGAAAACATTTCTAAATGGTTTTTTTGCAAAGCATATGAAAATATGTGAACTGCTTTCAGTACCTCCCAATTACTCATCTGAAGTTGGGAACTTGCCTTGGGTGTGGTTTTGTGTTGCATGACTCTTGTGTTGGATATTATTAATTTTATTTCTAGTGAGTAATTTTTGTGTATTTAGTTGTAATCTTATTTTCTCTTTCAGCAAATCATGCGCACGGGCATGAAATACAACCTGGGTCTGGATTTGAGAACCTCAGCTTACGTCAACGCCATTGAGAAAGTCTTCAAAGTGTATAATGAGGCTGGCCTGACCTTTACATAGAGTTTGTTTCATAATGTTTGTTTCAAATCGCCCTTCCCCCTCTCACTGGCCTCAAACATATCACACGTTTACATATAATACTAGAGATTTTTAATGTTTTTTTTACCTTTTAAACCATCAAAACACTAGTTCTCCAATAGAAGCTGTCGGAACTAGTCAATAGCTTGAATAATCATCTAATTAACACTGTCTAAGTGTCGATATTAAGGCTTACAGAAAACCTTTGCAACCTCGAACTGCTGCTTACAATTACCTCCCCCCGGCTCGGCATTGTACCCCGCCACTGTCAGGCGCTCTGGGACGCTACCCTGCGTGAGAGGCGCTATATAAATGCAAGATGTTGTTATTGTTGCTTAGAACCACGTTTTATGGAACCAATGAATGGAGCCTCATCTGTGGCACATTCTGTTCTGGATCTGATAGCCAGTCCTGTTCTACACAAACCCGCAGATGAGAACCAGTTTGAGATTGGGGCCTGGACTATTTGCCACTAAATTTAATTGTACCACGCCTCAATGGGATGGGTTTCTTCAAGGGATTGTCAATGTTTCTTTTACTGTTTCATATGTGTGCTAGTCAGCCCTCATAATTCTCGGTAGTGTGCTTCTTTAGAAGCCTACTGTCTTCAGGAAGTTTTTGCACTGTTTACAGGCAGTCGTTGCTGAGCAACACACTGCAGTGGATTGATGAATACAGCAATGGTCTTTTCTATTCAGCAGTATGTGAGTGTATGGACTGCCAGAGCACAGCTGTATTAAGCCATGGTTATCTGGGATTTGGAATCCCCTTCCCATAACTGAGACCTAGAGTGGATAAAGTGGGGAAAAAGAGGTAATCAATGCACAGATAGGATCTTCCCCACCAAGGGGAGATTTCATTACTTCTTTCCCAACCTCCCCCTAAAAAAAACCCAATGTGGTAATTTCTACACTGTACTACACAATAGCTGGCTTAAAGAGAAGGCATGTGCATTAATGCACATGTTCACATTGAAGAAAAGGAATGCTTTTATTTTATTGAGAGCACTCGGGTTTGTGAACAAAGCATATGACTATAGTTTGTGAGTCAGCAAAGATGAGCTAATGCTGTGGAGTGCATGCATGTCTCTGTTGCTTCTTTGTGACTGGAGGTTGGAGTGGGGGAGGAGAGAGAAGGATTGAAGTGTCCGGGATTCTGCAAGCCTTTTTGGAAACCTACAGCTGTCAAAAGTCTGCAGTTAGTCAGTCTCCTTCAGTCTTCAAACTTGCCTCAAACACTTGTCTGAATAACACATATAGGATATAAAAATATTGGTGTTCCTTTATGAGCAGTAGCTCGTTGTTTGCCTATAGACTTTTTCTTTTGACCTTTCTTCCCTCCTCGGCCCACCCAATATATATGTAAAGTAAAGCCATAAAGACTTGGCACCCATTGGCTACCCGTAAAGTGGGGTTGTCCAAGTAAGAGCAATTTATACTGCAATGAAGATTATTTTGTTTTGCAGACTGAACAGGCAAATGATTTGGCAAGGCCATTTTGTAATCTTGCCTGTTTAGATTTACAACGATGCACTTTCAACCATAGCAACTGGATTCCTTTGAACCGCCTAGATCTAATTGTTAGGGTTGGGTCGCTTGTAACAACCCCCAGGGTATTATCAATGGCGCCAAAATCGTTGTAAAAGATTTTGGAGTACGTTTTGTCACCTCTTTTGTGTACCTCGGTTTAGGTCGGGAACGAAACAAAGGGACGCTGTGAGAATGTTTTGCGTATTTCTGTCAGATTAAGCATGTCAGAATTGTCAAGTTTTTGGCCTTTGCCCATGTGGGTGGAATGAAGTAACCAATGTAATTTATATGCCTGGGATGAATCTTTTTAAAACCACAGTCTTGTGTTCTTTTCTACATTCTTTGTAATTGCATGAAGGTGAATTGACCGATTATTAAAAGTTTTGAATTTAAAAAAAACAAAAACCTTTCTTATGCTGATGTATTGTGACCGTTTTGTTTCACTCTGTCCTTGCAGCATTTTTTACATCACACTAATGTGCAGAGGTGCTTCCCGTGACTTTTCTGCGGTGTGTATCCTACAAAAAGTATCTAGTGTATATCCTACAGAAAGTTTCTAGTGTGTCTTCAGAAGGTATGTAGCGTGTATCTTACCTTGTAGCTTGCAGAAGGTATGTAGAACAACTTACATTTATATAAGTTACATTCAAATTTCAATTCCTGGGTGAGGTGAAACCTTTGCAAGTTTCATTACTCCACGCCTGTTTACCTAGCAGTAAGTAGGGACCCAGTTGTTAGTCGAATGGCGGATTGCTTTCTGGGGTAATATTTTCTTCCAAAAATAAATGTTAAAGTAATAATTTGATCACTCACTCCGTGACTGTTTGTGGGACACTGCTGTGCGCAAGAAGCTGCCGGGTTTTGCCCATAAAATTATACAGTCAATTCACTTTGAGATGTCTCAATGTTGTGATAAGGCCCTATATGAATGCAAGAATTATTATTTCTAATTTTAAGATTGCCCCTTTGTTTTGGATCTCTCTACAAGAGGACAAAGTCATCACTAATTTAGCTTGTGAATTAATTTAAAGAGTATACATACCCAAGTTAACCATCCCGACTGATAATCCAGCTCCATCACAATGTTGGGTTCATTTTCCCTTCCTGCACACTAATTTTTTCACAGTATGACAGAGCCTTTAATTGTAGTTAACACTTTCATCCCAGGGATTAAGAAAATGAATCTTTGCTGGCTGGATGGCCTCCCAAGTCTAGTATATATAACCACTATGCTAAGGTGGTTAGAGGGCTCGATTCACAAGTGAGAGGACCTGGGTTTGATTCCTGGGCAGGGCGACACCTTAGGCAAGCTTCCTTACTCCACAAGCCTTTGTTTACCTAGAAGTAAGTAGAAACCCTGTTGTTACTCAATTGTCGATTGTTGCATTGCCTTCCGAAGGTAATCCCTTTATGTTAAAAAAATGAGGTCATTCAATCCATCACTGTGGGACATTGCTATGCGCAATTGGCTGCTGTGTTTTGTCCACAAAATGCACAGTCAATTCACTTTACAGTATATTTTGTGAAGCACTTTGAGCCTGAGCTTCACAGAAAATTAATGTCAACAACAACTTGCATTTATAAAAATGCCCTTCACTCGGGGCAGCATCTCTGTGTCACTTAACTGGTGGAACCTGATGCTGAGCTGGGAGGAAGGGGGTGATGACAGTAAGCACGATCGAAGAGGAAGGTGATCTTGAAACGTGATCTAAAAGAGGGGAAGGAGTGCACAAGGCGGAGGGAGTGGGAGAGAGAGTGCCAAAGCTTAGGGGAGTAGTGGCTGGAAGCACGGCCACCAATGGTGGAGCAGAGGGGACAAGCAGGAGGCTGGAGCCACCCGAGCAGAGGCAGCAGATGGTGGAGTAGGCAGGTAAGACAGGTAGGGAGTGAAGGGGTTTGTAGATGAGTGAGAGAAGTCAGGTGTAGTGACTGCAACTCTAGGCTAACATGGCAACCATATTCTCCCAACAAAGTCCCACAAACACGCAGTTAATTTGGAGGGTTGTGGTAGGCTGTGGTGGTAGGAACGTAGAGGACAGGTTGGAATTGGGATCTTCCTCTTACAGCCACAACAAATTGCACTTACACAGCGCCTTTACATCGGGAGGACATCTCAAGGCGCTGGACAGTCAAGGATTTGTACCCAGAGGTTGGGATCAGGATTTTGATGAGAATTTCTCTTATATTGCAGAGGTGACTCCTCTGGTCACCTCCTCCCTCCCCCGGCTCAGCATCAGAGTCCCCCACTGTTAAGTGCTCTGAGACACTGCCACGCGTGAAGCCCGCTATTTAAATGCAAGTTGTTGTAGCAACCAAACCAACTAGGATTCAATGCTCAGATCCTTAAGATCTTATCAGAAATGCATCTCCCAAACCAAGACACCAAACTCTAATGATTCATGAAGCCCTTCAGGTAATATTTGAGGCTGGTTTCAAAGGAAGGACTGGATGTGACTATCATAATCAGCTCTCTCCGCAGAAGGACCTCAACCTGTGTCTCCTCTGGATATACAGCCTCAGCACATCATCCCTCCTTGGAATATAGGCAAGTTCCAGATGTTACACATCACAATTTGCCTCAGTTGGTTGAACTATAACTTCTGGGTCAAAAGGTTGCATGTTCAATGTTGGAATTTAAAAGTCATAATCTAGGCTGACACTCCAGTGCAGTACTAAGGAGTGCAGCACTATCGGAGGTGCCGTCTTCCGAAGTGTCAAACTGAGCTCCATCTGCCTGTTTTTCAAATAGAATATTTTCTCAAACACTACAGCTGAAACTCTTGTTCATGCTTTAGTCACATTGAGCCTAGATTTCTCACTTCTCTCTTCGCCAAAGTCTACAAGTTCCAACTCGTCAAAAACTATGCAGCTCATATCATTTCCCTCATGATTCCACACGTCCATTAATCGCTTTCTTCATCTGCTCTATTGTTTCTTTTTCGTGTGTGTACATGTCTCTATCACCCATGAAAGTTAATTACGTGTATTTAAAATCATGAAAAGAAGAAAGATGCAGATCTAAAAGATCTGGACTGTGCAGGCAGAGCTCGTAGAGTCCAGAGCGCTTGACAATAGTGGAGCACGATGCCGAGCCAGGGGGAGGGGGAGGTGACCGTAGGTACGGTCGAAGAGGAAGGTCTTCAGGTGTGATCTGAAGATGGGGAAGGAAGGGACAAGGCAGAGGGATAAAAGAACCAGAGTGTTCCAGAGTTTCAAGGTGTAATGGCTGAAATTGTGGCCACCGATAATGGAACGGAGGGCATGAGGGACATGCAGGAGGTCGGAACCAGTCGAGCGGAGGCAGCGGGTAATGGGTTGGGGAGTAAGTAGGTCCGAGAGGTAGGGAGGTGCCAGGGCATGAAGGGATTTGAACACGAGTGAGGATCTTGAAACCTTTTGCCATTTTCCCACCTTTTCTCCATATTTCCTTTAATATCCTTTCTCCCCAAGTATCTATTTCCTTCTTTAATAATCCCAAACAATTGTGCATCTTGGATCGACTGAATAGCTTTTTTTCAGCCCCTGCTTCTTTTATGTTCTCTACTACAATTATCCAGTTTATTTTGTGCCTCCCTGCCCTCGGGGCTCAATCATCTGCTTTCTCTGAGCAAACAGAAATCTATCTCACACACCCACATGTGCGTGCTATGTCAGACTGAGCCTGACTGGGCGGACCTATCCGATAGAATAAAAGCCCTGTGCTCATTTACCCAAACAAACAAGTTTGCACTAGTGTCTCAGCCTCATCTCCTGCAACTATCTCATCTCATCTCACGGACGTGTCCCATCTCTTGCTTGAAGAAATGTCTTTCAGTCAGAAATGTTCCATCCCAGACGTGCAGTCCGCAGTCAATGAAGGAGGTACTGTAGCTGTACATACATATTCTATACCTGTCTGAAGTGGTGTGTGAGTTGGTCAAATGTTACAGTGAATCACCCAAGACCCAGGGTATATCAAATTTTTTTGATGGGCAGTGTGGGATATATCATAGAATGTTATATTGTGCGCTGTTATTTTGAGTGTTATTTTGAGGGATGTAGGCTATAGTAAAAAGTAAGGGGTGTGGAGTGAGTTACTGCTAGGTAAACAGAGGTATGTGAAGTAAGGAAACTTACCTAATTTGCCTAAAACTCACTAAGTAGGAACGTGGTTGTTAGTTGATTGGCGGATGGCTTTTAATAATAATCCCTCAAAAAAAAATATTTTGGTCATTGACTGTTTGTGGGACATTGCTGTGCACAATTGACTGCCGCATTTCACCCACAAACATGCACAGGCTTCTTTAAAATGTCGCAATGATGTGCTAAGGCGCTGTATCAAATGCTAGCATTATTATTATTATTATTAAGGGGCGTGGAGTGAATTAGTGAGTTTTATAATGAAGGATGAGTAATGTACAGTATATGAGAAAGTGTATAGCAGATATATATAGCACCCTCACGTAGGGTAGCATCTCAAAGCATTTGAAAGTGGCAGAGCACAATGCCGAGCCAGAGGGAGGGGAGAGGTCACTAGGCACGATTGAAGAGGAAAGTCTTCAGGCGTGACCTGAAGATGGGAAAGGAGGGGTCAAGGTGGAAGAATTGAGGGAGAAAATTTGAGAGATTGGGGGTGTAGTGCCTGAAAGCCCGACCACCGATGGTGGAGCGGAGGGCACGAGGGGCAAATAGGAGGCCCGTTTGAGGCAAGCAGCAGGGAAGTGAGGATTTCCGAAAGGTAGGGAGGTGCCAGGGCACTGAAAACGAGTGTGAGAATCTTGAAGTCAATCCGTTTGATGATAGGCAATGGAGCCTGGTGAGAACTGCTGTGATGGGGGTACGGAGTTTAGTGCCGGTGAGTATGCGAATGGCGGAGTTCTGGATTAACTAGATTTTGTGTTACTGTGAAGAGTGTTGGGTATATCGAAGTGTTGAAGTGAGGGTGTGGAATATGTTAAGAGAGTTACAGCTCAATTTGGGATTACAATCTGTCGTACCTAGTCACCTCGCCCTTCCCTCCGGCTCAGCATTGTGCTCCGCAACTGTGAAGCCTGTGAAAGTGCATTATACAAGATTGAATAACATCAGCTCAGAAGATTGATGAATGTTATTCAGCCATATAACAGGCACGCCCAGTCTTTCCCTTGAGTCAGTGCCTTCAGAGTCGCCTTTAGAGTTCAATCTCTCTACCCTTCCTTGCCCGTTTTCAGATCATGTCTGAAGACCTTCCTCATTGAACATGCCTACGGTCACACCCCCTCTTTCCCCGGCTCGGCATCAGGCGCCACTGCTTTTAAGCGCTCGGATGTGAAGGGCACTATATAAGTCCTATAATGTATTGGTTAGAGCACTCGCCTCGCAAGTGAGAGGACCCGGGTACAATTCCTGGACCGGACAAAACCTTAGGCAAGTTTCCTTACTCCATCGCGCCTCTGTTTACCTAGCAGTAAGTAGCACCCTGGTTGTTAGTCAATTGGCGGATTGCTTTCCAGGAGTAATATTCCCATTAAAAAAAAACACAATTTGATCACTCAATCTATGACTTTGTGGGACACTGCTGTGTGCAATTGGCTGCTGCATTTCTCCCACAAAATATACAGTCAATTCACTTTACAATATATTATCTGAAGTGCTTTGAGACATCTTGACATGGTAAGAAACTATATAAAATGCAAAGATTATTATATAAATGCAAGTTGTTGAGTTGAGAGGAGAAAAGAAAATAATAAAAGCAACTTGCGTTTGTATAGCGTTTTTCACATAGAATTATGTCTCAGTTCTTTATAGTGGTGGAGATTGACCCCCTGAGTAGGGAGGAGAGGGGAAGTGCGAGGTGACCATAGGCATAATCAAAGAGGTGGATTTTTAGATGGAACTTGAAGACAGATAGACAAGGGACGAAGTGGAGAGATCTGTTCCAGAGGGGCGTATAATTGGATTGCATTTATATAGCTTCTTACCTGTACAGTAAGCACTTTACAAAATAGAATTGAATAGTAATGAAATTGAATGTTATATAGACAAATGTGGCAACCAATCCTCACCACTGAGGTGCTACAAGGAACAATGAGATGAGCAGCTAATTCATTAGAATTTGGGGGTAAACTTGGATAAGGAGAGGAAAGACAGATCCCTATCACACAACGGATCGATTCCTCTCATTCATCTACAAATGCCTTTGAGACCTGGCACCTCCTTATCTTTCTGATCTCCTTTCTCCCCACTCCACTATCCGCTGCCCCGCTCAACTGGCTCCAGCATCCTGCTTGACCCTAGTCCCCTCCGCTCCACCATCCCCGCTGTGCTTTCAGCCGCTACACCTCAAAGGTTAGAAACTTTCTCCCCCAATCCCTCCGCCTCGCCCCATCCTTCCCCTCTTTTAGATCATGACTGAAGATCTTCCTCTTTGACCGTGCTTACGGTCATCTCCCTCCCCCCAGCTCGGAGTCAGCCTCCGCCACTGTCTAGCGCTCCGTTGCCCCGGGTGAAGGACACTGTATAAATGCAAGTTGCTGTTGATAGGAAGGCGAACACAGTGAGCAAATGCTTAAAAGTTAAGTTTTAAGAGAAATGGCAGGTAAGGAGTGTGTCTACCCGCAAAATGCTGAGAATATGATCATGGTAAATGTGAGAATCCTCAATCATGTTAAAACCATTGAATGTGTACAGTGGGGACCTGGAGTGTTTCGATTTGTTCTCGCACATCCTCACCCCTTGCTCTCCTTTCTCTTATCTCCAGCAAAACAGGCGGAGGGTGCTACTACTGAGTTTGCACAGAAAGCCCAGGATACCGTGAATGCAGGTACAATCTCTTCCTTTGCCTCAATCTGCTTATTAGTCCTCCGTTTATCTGCAACACTGTGTCCAAGGTACAGAGTGCTCTCCCCTTGCTGCCAAGATGACGTGAAATCGAGAACCTGGCTGCCTAGGTGTTAAAAGTCCCATGGTACCGTTTGAAAAATGACAGGAGTTTCTCCCAGTCTCCTGGCCAGCAGTCTCCCAGATAAAATTGGTTACTCACTTCATTTCCTCACCTGCCATTGATCATTTCTCTACAGTGCAGTGCTGGGAAGGTATTACATTGTTGGAGGTGCCATCCTTCGCACATTAAACCGAGGTCTATTCAAAAAGAGATAAGAGTTTCTGTCTCCTGGTGTCTTGGCCAACAACCCCTCAAATAAAATTGGTCACTCACTCCACGGCTGTTTGTGGGATATTGCTGTGCACAACCGGCTGCCACGTTTCGCCCACAAAATAGTCAATCCACTTTCAGTATATTTATATCCTGTGAAGTGCTTATAAAGCACATCTCAACAATGTGATAATGCACTGTATTAAATGTGAGGATTATTATTATTGCCATGTGCAGAGCACTACCTCCTCTCTCTGTTGCATACAGCTGAGAGCAATGCCTGAAGCAATGGTCAGGCATTGCTTCAGGCTTTTAATTGGGTTTCTCCTGGAGGACTTGGATCAGAACTGACAGTCTCTCTCTTCCATTCTTTCAGTTGTGGACAAAGGCGTCTCGTTGGCGGAGCAGAAAGGAAAGCAAGTAGCTCAAGATGTTGGCTCAAAACTATCCAGTGCCAAGTTACCCTTTTAGCAATGCTCAACAGCATCAAGTGATTGACAACCTTTGCTATGTTTTACTGTCTCTTTAATTTACAAAGGAATTGCTGTAATCAATAATTCATAACCAATTAATCAATAAAACGACCCCTCCCCCCACCCACAAGTGTTGCTGTTTAATTACTTTTTTTTAAGAAAGATATTTACTTTAAACATTTTCAAATATTTTGGGGGAGTTCTGTGGCAAGACTGCTTTTGGTTTAATTTTTAATCTATATTAATTACCACATCTCACATACTTCCCTCTGAACTTTCTCTACTGAGCAGGTGAAGCCCCTGCTGTAAGGTGCTGAACAGAATCTTAGTTCTCTGCTAAGAAATTGTGTTTTTGTGCTACTGTTAGAGGGAGTTTTACTGTCTCTAACCCATGCTGTGGGCTGACCTGGGAATGCTGCTTGTTATGGTTCGGGGCCAAAATTAGAAACAAAACTTAATCCTAACATTTGCTGATGATCAGAAATATTAACAAAATAAATGCATGACTGTGTCCAGTGCATTTAACTAATTCCTGAGCTGCAGACCTTGGACAGCTAAGATTCAAAAGGGAATTAGATATTTACTTCAAAACATTTTTTTGCAGGGCTATGGGGAAAGTGTGGGAAATGGGACTAGTTGGATAGAACTTTCAAAGAGCTAGCACAGGCACGATGGGCCGAATGGCCTCCTTCTCTGCTATAAAATTTTATCTCAATGTATTGGTTCTGAAGGAGAAAGGAGCGAGAAGGTAAAGAGCGGACACTTTAAGCTTTCAAATTTATTTTACTTTTCATTTATTATAAAATCTGCAAGCGTCAGAACTAATGAGTGGGAAAGACACAGACGTGGGCAGCATGCACTAAACCTCGCGATTCCTACCAACTGAATTCTAACCAACCAACAATAATCGGTCAATCCAAGGAAAGAAAAGCAGACAAGGACACACAGAGACACAAGACGGGTGTGTGTGCGGGTAATGGCAGACAGGTGACCACAATTATTGATCCACAGCAGCTCTGAGTCGATTATTCAAAGGACTTTGTATGCTGACCACAGAACGAGTGAAATAAGAGTGAAATAAGTGTGACTTTGGAGAGCTTCACTGCTTTAGTACCTGTGGTCCTCAATTCATTATGGCCTTACTGGTGTGAAAGTTGGGGAGGGGAAAGAGGGGAGTGCACCGATAATCTTCTGAGATGAGTTGGCTTTTCATTTTCCAGTCTGTAGAGGGAAAAGCAAAGCATCAGAATAAGGCATATTGTCAGCTGCCTGTCATTAAGTAATATTGCACTCCAATATTACTTAATCATATTGGAGTGCACCAAGCTCTGTGAGCCTATCACCCCCTAACCATGCCCAGCTCTACTGGCTCCCCATCCCCCGGAGGATAGTTCAAAATCCTGGTCATTGCTTTGAAAGTCTTCTACAACCTTGCTCCTCCCTAGCTCTGCCCTGCTCACTCCTTACTGACCTGCTCCGTGTCCCCCTCCCCTGCCTGCCCCATAGTTGGCGAGCAGGCCTTCAGCCTCTCTGGAACTTTGGAACTCCATCCCACAGTCCTTTCACCTTGCTCCCTCATCTCCTTCAAGCAATGTCTCAAGACCTTCCTCTTTGACTTTGATCACCTTCCTACCCTTATTTTCCCTGCCCTCCACGACCCCTGACCCAATCTCCAACTCGGGTCCAAACCCCTGACTGTCCAGCACCTTGGGGTGTCCTTCTGTTGTGAAAGGCGCCATATAAGTGTAATTTGTTGTTGTTGTTTAGTTAGCTGGGGTGTGGACGAGAGCGTGGGCTGGGGGGGAGGCCGATAGTGATTTCAGTTCCCCTGTTGCAGACCACACAAACCTCTTCAGTGGCCTCCATAGCTTCAACCAGTGGTTCTTCCATGGTCTGTTCTCCCTCAGCCTCCCCAGCCGGGACTTCCCGACGGACTTCATTCTGCAAACAGTCAGAACAGAACAGATCAGCACTTCCTGCAGAGAGAGCCAGTGCCTATCATTTCCTTGAGAGTCTCAAAGCACGTCAAAGAATATATTGCAAAGTGAATTGACTGTATTTTGGGCAAAATGCGGCAGCCAATTGTGCACAGCAGTGTCTCACCAACAGTCGTGGATTGAGTGACCACATTATTATCATTTCTTTGAAGCAATTATTACCTCTGGAAAGCAATCTGCCAATCGACTCACAACAGGCTTCCTACCTACAGATAGATAAACAGAGGTTTGTGTACATTTTTCAGGTTGTGGAAGCTAAAAATTGGTTACGGCATAATGTGCTGTAGCCTGTACACCAACCCACCCTACAGAATCTGTATCCAGTATAGATTTACTGTACAGCTCGATATAATCTACACCTCAGTACAGGTTCACTGCAGACTGCGTGAGCGTTCCTGTAGCATTTGTATCTCAAAGCAGATTTGCTATTTGACTCCGCAGCTTGGCATCACATGACCAATCTCTGTGAAGGCTATTTTAAGACTTGAACACATCAGTGATTGTTCTACACAAAGTGAAATCACCCAGACGGAAGCAGATGCAGAGTATTTCATTTGCCAGTCAGCCCAGGATGAATCCATTAATGTCTGATCCTATTTCAGTAATCGCGTGCAAACTCATTTATGGTGGCGGGGAGGGGAACACCAGAGGGTGGAGGACCAGAAATACCAGCATGTACTCCCATCACATGACTGCTGCATCTGCATTTGCAGCAAACTTTCCAAAGTGTCGGATTAAACAATGCACGTGAGAACATCTGGAGGGATGCAGCAGCTAGGAGGACCAGCGTTGGTGGAGGCATCAGCTGTGCATTTAAGTAATGGCAAATAATATCGAACCAAAGAACAAGTCTAACTAAAGTCCCCTTGCTCTTTCTCCCCTCACTCACATATACCCAAACGGGAGAGGGTATCACCTTTAACTTTAGTCCAGTATATAATCCTTAATAATCCTTGCATTTGATATAGCACTTTATCAAGTCTTTGAGACGTCTCAAAGTGCTTCACGGAATATACTGTAAAGTAGATTGCCTGAAAGGGTGGTTGAGGCCAATTCGATAACAACTTTTAAAAATGCGGTGGATGGGTATATGAGGAGGACGGGTTTGCAGGGTTACGGGGAAAGAGCTGGGGAGTGGGATTGACATTACTTGCTCATTTCAAAGAGCCGGCACAGACTCAAAAATCCTTAATAATAATCCTTACACTTGGTACAGCACTTTCATGCCCCAAAGTGCTTCACAGGATTCACTGTAAAGTGCAGTGACTGTGTGTTTTATGGGCGAAAGTGGCAGCCAGCTTTGCACACAGCAATGTCAACTCTGCGCCCTTCCAACAGATCAGCGGTGTCTGTACCTGTACTCAGGGCCGGGGTGACACAGCAGCCCAGGACCCCCAAACACAGTTGTGGCTGTGCCTCGGGCCAATGGCTCTGTAACACTTTGACCCCCGCAGACACAGGCTTCTCCCAGGTCGGAGGGCTTGTTGCGCAGTCGTGATCGGCGGGAGAGTCGCGGCCACACGGGGGATGCTGGGACGGTGGCAGCAGCGGGAAACAGACCTCACTCCTGGTGAGTGACCGCAGCCTTGTGCAGGATCCCCACTGACACCTGTGTGTGGGTCTCTCTCTGTCTCTTTGTCTGTGTGTGTGTCTCTGTCCTTGTGTGTTCCCATGTGTCTTTGTCTCTGTGTGTCTCTGTCTGTGATTGTTTGTGTGTGTGTGTCTCTGTGAAGGTAAATTGACAATCGAGTGTTTCACATCGCTGTCGGCATTGGTGTTGGTAATAATAATAATCCTTGCATTTGATATAGCGTCCTAAACTGGTAAAGGGAAAGAACTGAACTTGCAAAGAGAGGCCCTCAAAACTATAATAGCCCCGGGTCCCCATCAAGCTTAATCTGGCCCAGGGCTACTATAGTTTTGAGGGCCCCTTTTTGCCTGTGATATCATTACCTCAGCATACTGCATTGGTGCCCAATAGCTCACTGCATTAGTTGCCCCCATTCCCCAACACTAATACCTTGCACTGCCCCACAATCATTTGTCTTTTTTAAAGAAAAAACACATGGCAGAGGGAGAGCTCATAGCAAACGAGAGGCTTTAAAGTATCCTCAACATTCTCAGATCCTCTGTTGTAGCATAGGTCTGCAAACAACAATAATAATAATCCTTGCATTTGGTACTGAGCCTCATCATGTCGGAAAGACTGTGAATTGCGGTGACTGTGTATTTGTGGATGTCCACAGCAGCCAATTTGCGCACAGCAATGTCTCCACAAACAGCCATGGAGTGAGTGACCAAGTTTATATTTGGGAGATTGTTGGCCAGGACACCAGGAAAGAAAAACTTTGTTCTCCTTTCGAATAGCGCCATGAGATCTTTCAAATCCACCTGAACAGGCAGAGGAAACCTCTGTTTAACGTCCCATCCGAAGAACAGCACCTCCAACAATGAAACACACTCCAAGCACTGCTTTGGAGGGTCAGCTTAGATTGTGTGATTCCAAGTGCTGATGTTGGACTTGGACCTACAACCTTCTGACGATAGTGCTACCACTGAGCTTCAATGTAATGTTAACCTCACCATATTCACCACTCCAGTTGAACTTGCCACATTCTCTGCCCCTTCCACCGTCTTGTTGGCCACTGTGTTGACTCCAGCGACGACAGCTCCTCCGACCATGTTAGCCTGCTCCTTGGTCTTCTCAGCCACTGCACAATCCAACCAAAGCAAATGTTAATAATGAATGGTAAATGATCTGAGGACAGTTATATTTTTTCAAATCAGAGAAAGATCAGTTCAATACCTGTGTTCACGCTATGTACGACGCCTTCCTTTGTTTTGGTACCTGTTTTGGAGAGGAGGAGGGAAGGAAAAAAAAGTTACACAAGTGTACATCAGCTCCCTCTGTTCGGCAGGCACTGGCCTGCTCCATTCCCCCACCCTGCCCGCCCACCATAGGTGGACAAGTCTTCAGCTTTTCTACTCCCATCCTCTGGAACTCCATCCCCAAATCCCGCCTCGTCCCCTCTCACTCGAGGCCCATCTCAAGACCTTCCTTTTTGACTGTGCCATTGACCACACCCCCAGCCCCACTCCTGCTACCCTCCAACCCCCTTGATTCCAACCCCCGGCTCATGTACAAACCCTTAACTGTCCAGCGCCAATTTGGAGGGCACTAACTATATAATTGTAATTTATTGTGAATTCAGAATGTTAAGGCCGGGTCACACTGTGTGCGCTGAGACATGTTGTAGTGATACTATGCCACCTATAGAGGGTGATCTCCTGATGCTGTTCTTGATTCTTAACATTGACTCCATCGACTTGTTTCAGGCTTCATACATATTTCTACCTAGTTTGGTTGCAACCGTGCAATCACAAGAGGTTTGGAGGATAAAGGCCCTTTGCCCGGAATTTGGGATAAGTTGCATCTTGTGAATGGAATAAGGGAGAGCGGCGAGGCGAACGGTGGAAAATTCTAATAAGGTCAGAATTTTAATTTCATTCTCAGCTGGGTCTTGGGCTCAGACTCCGGTTGGATGGGGAATACATCTGTTAGCCTTCATGGGAAATTAAACATGTTTTAACGGGAATTTTTCATGGATGTGAGGTTATTGTGTTTATCCAAACCTTATCTCAAATCAGAGCTGAGTTGATCAGAGATGCTGAGCCATTGTGCAGCCTGGAGGTTCAGCTCTAAGCTTGGACATAGGATTAATCAGCTCTGACTGATAGAGGAGGTAAAGGTCTTCTCTGTCCATTGCAGCTCAGGACACTAAGGTCCTGGTTCAATACAGTTTCCTGGTGATCTGGAAGGACTGTGAAATGCAGTGACTGTATTTTGTGGGTCTATTTTGTGTGCTTAACTGCAATACCAGTGCAATTCCACTTAGAGAGATCATAAAAAGGGACGGGGAGCAACATAACATCTCAAAGGAAAGTGCTGAGGTGAAGGGAAACAGCATGGCATGTAACCAGCGGTGTACCTGACCTGTGAGTAGTTGTTGAAAGATTGATCTAAATGTTTTGTTAATGCTACAGGAGAAAGGGTTGCATTTAGTGGTGGTGGGGGAGGCAGGACATCAATAAAACCTGACTTTCTGGGCACAGACCCAAATGGTTGTTAAGCTCCATTGATGCTGCCTCCCACCTCCCCTCCACACTATGTGAGACTGACACGGTGAGATTCAGGGACAGGTTCAAAGAAGACATCTCAAAGCGCTTCACGGGATATACTGTAAGGTGAATTGACTGTGTATTTTGACTGAGATATTCCTCCCGCAGCTGTACACAGGCTGCCATTCTCTTTGGCTTCTGGCTATGTCTGCTAATCTGGAATGGAAATGAAGGTTGGTGTTGAATCTAGAGCTTCAATGAAGAACAGCACACCCACTCCACCTCCCTCCCTTCATCTCGTCCTCCTCGTCTCCTCCCTCCCTCTCTCCCTTTTCACCTTCCTTCCCTCGCTTCCCTCCCTCCCCCTCTCTCTCCCTCTCTCTCACCTCCTCTCTTCCTTCCCTCTCCTCCTTTCCTCTGTCTCCTCCTCTCCTACCTCCCTCCCTCCATTCTCTCCCTCTTTTCCATCTCCTCCCTCCCTCTCCTTCCCTCATTTCCCTCTCCTCTCCTCTTGCCCTTCCTTTCTCCATCCCTCTTTTCCATCTTCTCTTTTTCCTCTCCTCCCTCTCTGCCCTCCCTCTCCTCCTCTCCTCCCTCTGTCACCCTCACCCCTTCCCCCACCTCCACCCCCATCAGTTACTGATCACAGTGCTGACCTTCTGCACCAGCTTCGCTTCCTCCCACCTCTATCACGCTTCACCATCATCTCACACTGCAGCCAGACTAGACCAGAGCAGAGGAGAGAGGGAGGCGAGGAAGGGAGGAGAGAGAGGGAGGGAACACGACTGAGAAGTATTTTGCACCGTTAAATCAACACCAAAACAACACAGTGCAAACTATCACTCTGGTTGTTCTGACACGTGGGACCCTTTCCTTCACTTCCTTTCAGATCCGTCTCAAGACCTACCCCATCCTCTTGGCCCCACCCCTCCAGAATCCAACCCCCCACCCCCGTTTGGGTGCAAACCCTCGATTATCTAGCGCCCTGGGACGTCCTCCTGACATGAAAGGCGCTGTGTAAATGTAATTTGTTGCTGTCGGCAATCGAACAAGCCAGCAGAAGTGGGAGCGTCCCACCAGCCAGCATTGACTCCCACTACGGGACATGCACATCCTGCCCCAGAAAGCCAAATGCAAGGCGAGGAGGTACTCTGCACAGTTTGCAATCCCACAAAACCCACTTTCTAATAATTATAAATAAATGTATTTGTTTCGCCCACAATATACACAGTTAATTCACTTTATAATATATTTGGTGAAGCGTTTTGAGACATCTCAATGACTTGATAGGCTACTGTATCAAATACAAAGATTATTATTATTATTATAATAACAGTAATAACAATACAAATCTTTACTTTATTAATTAACATGAACTGACATTAACATCACAAAATGTTCCCAAAACATTTGACACAACAAAAATTTTAAAACAAACAAACAAAAAAATTTTTTGCTTCACTTTTGAAATGAATGAGGGGAGTTTTCAAATGAACACCTTTTCTTCCCCACCCACCCACCCCTGGCACTATCCTAGTGGCCACACCCAGCTCGCTCTGCTAATAGGTGCATTACTGTCAAATCCCCCAAGCGAAATGAGCAGTACAGTAGGAAATGCCAACGAGAGTTTCTGGTGCCCTGTTTAAGTTGTAGGCATTCAGTGATAATCCTTACCTACATACATTACACCCTCTTTCGTCTTCTCTGCAGCGTCCTGCACGCCCTGTTTGGTTTTTTCAGCCGCAGCAACCATTCCTTCCTTGGCAGCGAACAGACCTTTCTTTAGAGTATCCATGGTGGAGAGAGTGGATTTCTACACTGATGCACACAAACACACAGCCCCTGTCAGTCGAGAGCCTCCTTCAGGTCTCGCTCAGCCGTGGCTCGTAAGCACAAGTCCCTGCAATGTGGCTATCTGCTGTATAACTAGTCTCTGGCTCTCGTTGTCTCTGCAGTGTGAAAGCTGATGAACCAATTGCTCAGTCTCCCCCCAGCCCTATTTATGATGCACCTTGTCACTGGTCCAGCGCAGTGCCTATGAATATCCAGGGCTGCAATATTAATGACATCGATCTGGGAGGGAGATGGAACTACCGGGTATCTTTCCTGGTGAGCTCCCGAGGAGCCAGAGCATTGGTTAAAAATCACTGCAGCCCACGGATGCACCACTTCAAATACTGCAGAGTACCTCAGTTGCACCACTGTCATTGCACAGGACTGCAGGGACTATTTTTCCTGTCTTCGACGTGTTAACCTCTGCTCCTTTTCTGCAATGTCTACAATGCAATTGCAGTTTTTTAAAACAAACACGTATATATTTTAACATTGATAAATCTGCATTGCCTGCATTTTGAATGCTGCGTTCTCTGCCCAGACGCACATAATTACTCAGCGGTTTGAAGCAGTGAGATGCTTCACAGTTTATTCCTGATTTAACATTGAGCAATAAAATTAAATTAGCCCACAAATTACACGGTCGATACACTTTACAATATATTCTGCGAAGCGCTTTGAGACGTCTCGACGACGTGATACGGCGCTGTATTAAATGCTAAGATTAAACGACTCTTTGAAGATTTTATTAGAACCACTTTGTGGTATGTATTTATTGATTTTTTTAACGTCTGCTGTACTTTTTCCATCTCACTTTAAATTCCTCTCACAGCTCACGCCCCAATCCCCAGTCTGAGAGCCAGCGAGCTGTCGGATCGCTCGTTAATATTCTGTGTCCAGCCTTTACACCCACATCGCTTCCCAAAAGATTAATGTTAACGCTCTTCTCCTGACCTTGAAATGCTTCATAGTCTCGCCACTCCCTTTCTTCCTTCTATATGTTGTAAGCTCCAATGTTCTGGTGTTCTAGAGGGCATCAATTTAATAATAACGATAATCCTTGTACTTAATATAATGCCTTAGTATTTGAGACATCTAAGAGCGCTTCACAGAATACATTGCAAAGTGACTTGACTGTATTTTGTGGGCCAGGGTCCTTGTCTCTCTAAAATTGTACGTGCATTTGGCAACCGGGAGGGGAGAGGTCAAGCTCAGTTGTGACTGATCTGCCAACACTCTTTGCCCAGGCTCACACATGTGAATAATGGCCACTTGGGTTGTGGGGGTGGGGGGTGGGAGAAGGGTGGAGGGGATACCGGAGGGCAACCAATGCAGAACCACACCCTCGTGAGGGGCAGAGAGGAGGCCAGTGGGTAGAAAAGTAGAAATAAAATATTTGGACGCACTAAATTTATTTTTAAAAATCTGGCTAATGAACTCGTTCCCTGTGTTAAAGAGATTTGAAGTAATCCAGCATCTAAATCACCCTTAAAGCAATTTCAATTGCTGAGTAGTTATTGATTTTGTAGTCACATCCGAAGCTGAGCTGCAGTCTAGCTGCTAACTCAGCAAGCGCTCAGCAAGGCACGAGAACGTTACAGAGTCACGGTGCTGCTGACTGGGAATGCTGGGAATGGTCATTAAACACCGTCCTTCCCGCCCACAAGCTGTATTACAAGGTCAGGCAGAGGAGACAGAACCAGGCTGGCTCAGTGGTAGCCCTCTTGTCTCTGAATCAGAAGGTTTAGTGTTCAAGCCTCACCTCAGGTCTTGGAATCACATAGTCTGATCTGAGCCTCCAATACAACGTGGGGTTGCATTGTCGGAGGTTCTGTCCTTTGGATTAGACGTTAAACCAAGTCTGTCTGTTCAGGTGGACGTTAAAGATCCTGTGAAAAGAGAAAAGAGTTTCTCTCTCCCAGTGTCCTGGCCAACAATCCCCCCAAATAAAATTGGTAACTCACTGTGTGTGGGACATTACTGTGCACAAACTGGTTGCTGTGTTTCGCCCACAAAATACACAGTCAACAGGTGATGGCTGCGGAACCAAATATCAGGGAAGGAAAAAAGGAGCCTACGGAGGAAGAGGAGAATTAAAGGATGAGATTAACGGATGTGAATATGATCGAGAGGCTGTGGTATGAGTAACACTCCCCCCCCCCCCCCCCCCCCCCTCTCCCACCCTGCTCTCAGCCTCTGAAACACTGACTGTCCAGCACTGTGGGATGTCCTCCCGACATGACATAAATGTAATTTTATTGTTGTTGTAGCCTCGACCCATCACCAACTTAACACTAAACTGCGAGATATTTGAAGTCTTGTGATGGTGCGAAACACATTTAATTCGGTTTGATATATGTGACGGAAAAGTCCGCATCTCCTTGAGACTGAGACTTTCATTGCAGGTTTGTGTTTGTTGTCTGCAGTGTAGGAGACAGAGGGGTGGAGATTGAGAGAGGGGGGAGTAGGGAGGGACAGACAGGAGATGAGAGAGAGTTTGTGAAGGAGCTTTCGGCCAATTCAAGAATCTGAATGCTGGGGGTGGGGAGGGTGGGAGTGGCGCAGGGGTGGGTGCAGTGGTACAGGCTGGACTGACATTGAGCAGGGTAACGCTTGAGGCTGTTATACACACTGTGTCCTGCCCATTGCGAATGCTGCCGCTTCCCTTGCTCCCTTTGATTGTCTTTAACGGCATTTCACAAATTAATACCCGTCCTCCCTCCGCACAGTGACGCAGCAGTCAGACGCTCAAATCGCGACGGATTCAACAATGTGGATTGATGTCTGTTGCCCCCACTGCTCTGTGATTATCACATGCTGCTCGCTGCAGTTATCATTAACCTCAGCAAGGCTCAGATCGTCTCATTCAAGCCACGACGCGCAGATACTCCCAGCACCGCACTGGAGTGTCCACCTAGACTGTGAACCTAAAATCCTGACGTAGGTTTGAGCCCACAACCTTCTGACTCAGAGACGAATGTGCTACTCGCTGAGCAAGGCTGACACCTAAATGTAAGTTTAAGGGCTCCCCAAACCTTGGATCTTGCCAACCTGCACCTATTACTTTCCAGAATTAGTTAAGCAGGATGTGTGCCTTCAGGGAGAGAGTGCGCATTCCATTCCAGACATAGGGAAATTTCCATGTGTAGGCGGTGTACATATATGGAATTCTAAGTCTGGTTTGGATACTCATGGTGATGAGTTTCCACATGTCAGACACCCGGCTGCCCCCAAAAACGGGTTAGACTCTGAGTAAAGCTCCATCTACACTGCCCCTCTCAGGTCAGTGACAGCACCGGTTAGAGATAGTAAAGCTCCCTCTACACTGTCCGTGCACACTCCCAGGTCAGCAACAGCAAAGTATAGAGATAGAGTAAAGCTCCCGTCAGATCAGTGACAGGATGGGTTCAAGGCGGAGTAAAGCATCCCCCACACTGTCCGTCCAGCCTCAGGCACCCTCCAGTGTGATGAGTTAAGACCACACTGAGCCTGTACTCCAAAGTAAGTTGTCACTGACTTACTCACAGTCTCACTGCCTCTATTATTTGAACTCTCCTGACACTGCAGCTATTTCCTGTACAGCCAGCACTTTGAACGTCGGAAGAAATCAATAATTGATAAATATTTATGTCCCTGGGCACAGTCGCATCAGCTACATTTGTGCATGAGGAATGTGACCTGAATGATTCATTCGGTTGTCTACCAGCTGATCATAAAGTTACTACCACAGTTGAACAATATCCCACCAGGCCCTGCCTCTAACAAATAGGAATCACAGAGATTCTGCAGACAGGAGGCCAATTAACCCATTGTGTCAGTGTCTTCCATTGATGCCATCTATTCTCATTCCAGTTTCATGCTGTGTCTCCAGACTCTCTAATCCACTTTACTCTGCATGTCCTTATAAATACTCCCACCTCTACTCCAAAAGCACTCCTGTCAAATCATCCCACAGTCTGTTGCCCTCGGGAGACAAAAAGTCTTCCCCTTTCATGCTCCTGGATGCAACTGTAAAATCCTATCTCTTGTCATCAAATCACCAACCGGCCAAAGTAGTCCTCACAATCTAGCCTCTGAAAGCCTTTCAGTGTGGAATCCTGTAGTGTAGTGGTTTACACGCTCGCCTGGCAAGCGATATGACCTGGTTTTGATTCCCGGGCTGGGCAAATCCTTAGGCTAGTTTCCTTACTCCACATGCCTCTGTTTACCTAGCAGTAAGTAGATACCCAGTTGTTAGTCGATTGGTGGATCGTTTTCCGGACCCAGATGATGTGGACGATGTAGTATGTGACCATTGCCACATCATCTGGATCCCAGACACATCTTTGCTCTATGTTCTGCCTATTTTGTTGCAATTTTCCCCCCTTTGTTTTGCATTATTAACACCTTAATTCCCCTGTTTTGTTGCAATCCCCCCACTTCGTTTTGCATCATTAATACTTCTTTAACCCATCATCCGCTGTCTTCTACCTCATTTTCTCCTTTGTCTTTCTTGCCCTGCCTCTCCCTTCTCTGTGAGCCCTTAAAAGCCTCTCCCTCCCAACATGCCCCAGTTCGTGAACCTGAAATGTTGACTCGCTTTCCTTTCTCCATAGGTGCTGCCTGACCTGCTGAGTGTTCCCAGTGACTTCTGTTTTTATTGCAAAGATTATTATTATGAGCTCAAAGTCAGGCTGACAACAGAGGAGAGAGACTGAGCCAGACAAAGGTGAGAGAGACTGAGCTCGGCTAACATGGGTAAAAGAGACTGAGCCAGGCTGACTTGCCAATTTTTGTTCCATGCTTTTTCATGTTGGTTACAACGTTATTTCCAAACTCAGACCTTGGAACCTGGTAGCCGATGCCATCTAGTGTTGACATAAATGTTTACTTTTTCTTGCTAGAGAAAGGAGAAAGAGCTTTTTTTCCTTTGTTCCTTACATTGAGTTCCGAGGGCGTGGGGACAGGGCTGAGGGTATGGGAAATGTGGTGCTGAGACCAGTAGACTGGTAGATTTTAGACCAATTGCTGAGAAGTGTAGGGTAAGTGCATAGAGCTGTGGGAGGTATAGGGTAGACATTGGGTTTATATGGTGGGCGTGAGGAATACAGGGAGGTAAGGACCATAGGATTGTCTAATGACCCTAAGGCCCATTTCTTGTTCCCTACTTTGTGCTTTATGTTGTTTTTCACGTGTTATGTCGTTTGTCACTTGAAACAAATACAATGTTTAACTAA